ATAATATACACAGCAGCATCAAACCACAGAGAAAAAAAAGCAATTATAAAGCATTGCTTATCTAGCCGATAAAAAAGTGTGTGTGTGGTTATGCACAGTACTAATGTGGAGAATCATAGGGAAAGAGAAAAGGGAAAAAAGATCAAGAATACATAATTTTTCATGAAATGAGAAAAGGAAAAAAGATCAAGAATGTGAATCAATATTCACAGAACCATTTGAATCCATGGTAAATGATAAAAATTAAAATTGCAAAAAAAAAGTAATAATAATTTTTTTTTATCAACCTTTTTTAGAAAAAATACATTTTTAACAACATAAGAAGTACTAATCTGGGGGGGGGGGGGGGGTTGGTGTGGTGTGTTGTTAAATTCACTTGTGCACTTTTTCCAATGCATTGTACAAGTTTGGGTTGTTCATTTACTGATAGGTTGCTGATGGTGGGTGTCGCCAAATCTTCCTTGACATGATCTTTCCCTGTGCTCTGTGTTCATGCATATTGTCTTCAGCGTGGCTCTTTCTGTGGCAGTTGGTACCAATTGCATTCTCATCAGCTGGCCAAACCATCTCATGTTGTTGTTTCTTTACTTAACTTTATGACTGGTTTTCAGCCTAGTCTTCTGTTCTGATTTCTTCATTTCCTGATTGTATCTCTTCCTGTCATGGTGTCATGCCCGGCAGCTCCTTCTAAGACTCTCATCTCTGTGTTACGATCTCTTCTTCCGCTCTTCGTTGTAGTAAGGGGTCCCATGTCTGGGGGACACTGGTATCACAATGTTTGGCCAAAAAAAACTGTTCTCATGAGATTTGCTTTGGTTGACAGATTTATCTTTCTATCGGTATGCGTCAGGAGGGGGGATGTAGTGTTAAATAGTTTTACCACCCCCCCCCCCCCCAAATGAATACTATATGACGCATTATTCAGTGTAGATGCTATAGTGACGTTAGTCGAGGGTCCAACCTCGACTGGAGTCAGGTCACACACTAACTGCTTTGTTCCTGCAGCAGTGGAAATCACACAATATGTCCTTCCCTATCCCATTAGAAAAAGTGAAAAATATCAGTTGGGGCAGTTGTGCCAACACTAACAGTCTCACTCTAGAACTGCAGCTTACTGTTGATGTAGGCAGTACATCACGAATGCTGGCATTGCACATGCACACTTATGTACACACCATTCTGAACATAAATATCCACTACCATTTTTTGTGCAGTTCACAACACAAAACTGCAATGAACACAACAGACCCACACACAAAAAATTGAATGGATAGCTCAGTGTTAAACCAAGCTCGCAGCTCAGTAGCTGGGTGCTGGAATGTTTGGACTTCCAGTGGAGAAATGGGGAAACAGCATCAGCCAACTGGTGCTAGAAACAAATAACTTTCAAAGCATTAGCCAACTGGTGCTAGAAACAAATAACTTTCAAAGCATTAGCCAACTGGTGCTAGAAACAAATAACTTTCAAAGCATCAGCCAACTGGTGCTAGAAACAAATAACTTTCAAAGCATCAGCCAACTGATGCTAGAAACAAATAACTTTCAAAGCATCAGCCGAGAAACTAACTTTGCTAGCCAACTGGTGTGCTAGAAACAAAATAACTTTCAAAGCATCAGCCAACCGCCTACTGCGCTGGAAAGAAGAACACCAAACTACTAGATGATATTCATTCAGTCATTGCTAGACAGTGAAACGATAACAATTACTAGATGATTGATTCAGTCAAAAGGCACTAGACAGTGAAGACAGAATACTAGATGACTGATTCAGTCAAAAGGCACTAGACAGTGAAGACACAATACTAGATGACTGATTCAGTCAAAAGGCACTAGACAGTGAAGACAGAATACTAGATGACTGATTCAGTCAAAAGGCACTAGACAGTGAAGACAGAATACTAGATGACTGATTCAGTCAAAAGGCACTAGACAGTGAAGACAGAATACTAGATGACTGACTCAGTCAAAAGGCACTAGACAGTGAAGACAGAATACTAGATGACCGACTTAGTCAAAAGGCACTAGACAGTGAAGACAGAATACTAGATGACTGATTCAGTCAAAAGCCACAAGACACTGAATAAAGAATACTAGATGACTGATTCAGTCAAAAGGCACTAGACAGTGAAGACAGAATACTAGATGACTGATTCAGTCAAAAGGCACTAGACAGTGAAGACAGAATACTAGATGACGATTCAGTCAAAAGACACTGACATTGAAGACAGTCAAGAGGACTGGACTAGCAAAAGGCCCTAGATGATGAAGACAGAACACTAGATGACCGACTTAGTCAAAAGGCACTAGACAGTGAAGACAGAATACTAGATGACTGATTCAGTCAAAAAGCACTATACAGTGAAGACAGAATACTAGATGACTGATTCAGTCAAAAGGCACTAGACAGTGAAGACAGAATACTAGATGACTGATTCAGTCAAAAGGCACTAGACAGTGAAGACAGAATACTAGATGACTGATTCAGTCAAAAGGCACTAGACAGTGAAGACAGAATACTAGATGACTGATTCAGTCAAAAGGCACTAGACAGTAAAGACAGAATACCAGATGACTGATTCAGTCAAAAGCCACAAGACACTGAAGAAAGAATACTAGATGACTGATTCAGTCAAAAGGCACTAGACAGTGAAGACAGAATACTAGATGACTGATTCAGTCAAAAGCCACAAGACACTGAATAAAGAATACTAGATGACTGATTCAGTCAAAAGGCACTAGACAGTGAAGACAGAATACTAGATGACTGATTCAGTCAAAAGCCACAAGACACTGAAGAAAGAATACTAGATGACTGATTCAGTCAAAAGGCACTAGACAGTGAAGACAGAATACTAGATGACTGACTCAGTCAAAAGGCACTAGACAGTGAAGACAGAATACTAGATGACTGATTCAGTCAAAAGGCACTAGACAGTGAAGACAAAATACTAAATGACTGATTCGGTCAAAAGGCACTAGACAGTGAAGATAGAATACTAGATGACCGGTTCAGTCAAAAGGCACTAGACAGTGAAGATAGAATACTAGATGACCGATTCAGTCAAAAGGCACTAGATAATGAAGACAGAATACTAGATGACTGATTCAGTCAAAAGGCACTAGACAGTGAAGACACAATACTAGAAGACTGAATTAGTCAAAAGGCACTAGACAGTGATGAAAGAATACTAGATAATGGTAGATTCAGAAGAAGAAAAAAATACTACTAGATAATTACAGAACTTACATACCAGAGATGCCATTTGTGGTGTTCAGTTGCAAATTTTGCCAACAGTTTATGAAGTAATATGTCCAATAAGACTGCAGTTGAAAGAGTTGGAAAGTCGATGCACAGGTGTTGTGCAACGATACTATACTGAGTAATGAATTAATCAAGTAACAGAAAGTGTATTGATCAGCACTCATAGAAAGAAGTAGAAAGATAGAAGATGGACAACATAAAAATCTAAAGCTATAGTTACCGTACCGGGAATTGAACCTGTCACCTCCAGACGGCATCTGCACCTCGCCATGGATACAAGTGCACTAAGAACATGGTCAACCAGGCACCCCCCAAAAAAGGTGTCTTGTTGGCCATGTCTATCGTACAGCTTGAAATCCACAACTATGGAATACGGACAGAATTCATTTCAAACCTGAATAATGAAGGCTGTAACTGACAATTTATGTGTAACTGACAAAACATTACTATTTAAACAAGTTGCTAAAAGATGAGAAAATATTGGCAACAAAGCATCAGTTAAAAGAATGTAACAAACAATACAATAAGACCAATTACAGATGAATAACCCAAGAGCAATTAATTGTAAGCAGACACAGTACCAGTGAATAAGTGATGACATAAGACACCAAAGAATCGAATGGCTGATCATCTGGTCAGACGGGAACAAAGTCAGCAAGCAGCTAGAGCTTATTACATGAGAACAGCAGGGTACAAGGCAAGAGGCTGACCAAGAAAGAGATGGGTGGAGGGAGTAAAATAGACACCAGAGAAACACAATATGACAAACTACGTAACTAGCAAAAGACAGGAAACTAGAAACTACACATTACTCCTCTCGATTCTTTTCTTTTCTTTTACCCATCTCGGGGGCTTTGAGATTTTCTAGGGAATTTATGGGAAAGTCAATGAGTATAGGGGTGTTAGGATGTGAAATGAACATCGACTAACATTACCTCCCCCTGGACTTTCCAGGGAATTCCCTACGAAAGCTCGTAGCCCCCGAGATGGGGTGAAAAAAGAAAAGAAAAGATCACTCCTCTCTGTGACGCTTTAAGCAGTAGGACAAAAGAAGAATTGTAAAAAAAAAAAAAAAAAAAAAAGGTTTCAGTGTGGTTTCCAGGGCTCTAGTTTGGGGGAGGAGGGGGGGGGGGGGGGGGGGGGGGGGGGGGGGGGGGGGGGGGGTACAGATTCACTGCCTCTAAGCAAGTATAATATGAAAGGTGATAAATTAAGGGTTGGCTGAAATCGAATTGTGGGGCCCCTCCCAAAAAAGGGCAGAGATTACAGTCTGCCTAGCTGTAAACCACAACACAATGTGCCAACTGCCCTTGGAAAGACAAACACAGAATTACAGGAAGGAAAAACACTGAAGTTCGAGAAACTGTTTTAACAACTTTAATACTACTCTCACACATTTTATCGCACATATCATCATTTGCTCATATGCTCCACATACAAATAGACTGTTTCTTGTTTATAAAAGCAACAAATAATATTGTACGCTTTATTCACACTTTAACAATTCCCATATAACAAGTACAAGAATCCATTCAAAACACTAACAATTTGAAAAAGTTAATGCATTAAAGAAATTTTTCAAAGACACTGTTCGTTTAACACATCTGCAGGGGTGGCTTTCATGTCTAGCAATGTTTAACATTAAACAAAGGTCATGAATAGTTTCCCTGAAAAACCAAGATCCGACAGATACACGCACACACAGGATATCATAGGCACACTGACATATATGTCCTCTTCAACTATTGGCCATCTTCTTAATTCTCTCTAGTCTTGCTTTCAAGCTTGTCACATCCACTGATTGTTTAGGCTCCTCCTGCATTTGTGCTGAACTTGGCCACTTGATTTCCTGCGCAAACAAACATGAATCAAAGGTATTTTCTTCTTCTTATTCTGTGTTTACACTTAAAATGGCGGTTAGCACTTTGTGCCATGGTTTACAGCTAGGCTCCAGTATGCTATTTCTTTGTGACAAGACCATATAGTCTGGTCAACATTCCAAGGATCATCAGTCTTCAGAACCAACACTGAACTTTATAGGTGGACAACAAATCAAATGGTTTGGCCATGTAACAAGATTGGCATCAGACTGGGCACCACAGAGAGAATCGCTATACAAATACAGCGGTAACAGATCCAGAGGTCGACCACGCAGAAGATGGACCGCATAAATATCAGAGACACTGAAAAGTACTTTATACAAAGCAAACAGAAGGGCCCGTTCCAGAGATCTCTTCCTGTCCTGACTCCACAAGGCTTTCCAGGAGAAGAGGAAACAAGAAGAAGAAGATCAATTTTCTCCAGGACGTGAATATCCAGTGCACACCCTGTTATTTTCTGAGTTTACACCAAATTTCATCTGAAAACTTGACATTCTGAGTTCAAGACAGAACATTTAATTTAATACAGAACTAATAAGATGTTCACTATTAATAAGACCATTTTATCATTACTTTCACTTTTGTGGTGTGTCACACATTAATATTTTGAGTGTCCTGTCCCCAAACCAACTGCATTCGTAGTCTCTGCTACAATATAACACCTAATTTATTCCAAAATCTAGTCCATGTTCATTGTTAATAGACTGGAAGTCACTGTTGATAGATTGCAAGTTACTGTTGAAAGATTGGAAGTCACCATTAATAGATTGAAAGTCACTGTTAATAGACTGGAAGTCACTGTTAATAGACTGGAAGTCACTGTTAATAGATTGGAAGTCACTGTTAATAGACTCAAAGTCACTGTTAATAGATTGGTAGTCACTGTTAATAGATTGGAAGTCACTGTTAATAGACTGGAAGTCACTGTTAATAGACTGGAAGTCACTGTTAATAGATTGGAAGTCACTGTTAATAGATTGGAAGTCACTGTTAATAGACTGGAAGTCACTGTTAATAGACTGGAAGTCACTGTTAATAGACTGGAAGTCACTGTTAATAGATTGGAAGTCACTGTTAATAGATTGGAAGTCACTGTTAATAGACTGGTAGTCACTGTTAATAGACTGGTAGTCACTGTTAATAGAATGGAAGTCACTGATAATAGATTGGAAGTCACTGTTAATAGATTGGAAGTCACTGTTAATAGACTGGAAGTCACTGTTAATAGATTGGAAGTCACTATTAATAGACTGGAAGTCACTGTTAATAGATTGGAAGTCACTGTTAATAGATTGGAAGTCACTGTTAATAGATTGGAAGTCACTATTAATAGACTGGAAGTCACTGTTAATAGATTGGAAGTCACTGTTAATAGGTTGGAAGTCACTGTTAATAGACTGGAAGTCACTGTTAATAGACTGGAAGTAAACTGCTTGTTAGTCACCTTTTATAACGATTGTTGGGGTGTCTATTCCCCCTCACCAAAGTGGCTAAGAAACCCAAATAGAGAGTGTTTTCTTCTTGTTCTGCCTGGCTCCCAATAAAGAACACATCTCCATTCAAGAGGACTGATTACCCACAACTTTGTTTATATTTTCTAGCTTTTTGTTTTATTTCCATAGTTTTTTGTGTGACACAATGGGACATAACAGTCTGAACAAGCAAAGCACATAATCCATCTTTCTGCTTCCTCTTTAGGCACACAGCCAGGATATAAGTTCCCAGGAGGCTAAAACTTGTTGAGCCCTCTAATATCTGAAGGTCTGCCACAGGACCCCCCCCCCCCCCCCCCCAAGTTTTAAAGTGATTTTATTTACTGGGCTTCATAAGTTTGTTTAACAGAGCTCAGATGATGTTCGCAGACCTCCAGATGGGAAACAGTGGACTTGGCAACCTCAATTTGCATGCAATTAAAAATGAATGTTGGAGTTAAGAATGAGAACAAACTTGTCAATAAAAGTAGCAAGGATGTTGAACACAAAGTTGTAGAATTATTCTGTAATAAATTATGATAATGCAATAACCCTCATCAAGTGTCTTGCTGACGGAAAAGAGTGATCATGATTTTTCTCATCCTGTGATATCTAAAAGCATCTCTCTGTCCAATGCCATCAGTTAGTTAAGTCCCTTTACAGGAAGTTGTAGAACCAACCCCAGCATTCTCGCCTGTTGAGGTTTTTCTAAGCAAATTTAAATTCAGTCCATTGCCATGACAACAACATAAAAGCTGACAAAAACATTTCCTTATTAACTTTCTTATCTCTCTTTCCATAAATCTTTCCAGTTAATATATTTTCCAGGTTTTCTCATCTTGCTGGCATCTGTGGCTTAGGTATTAGTGGACGGTTTATGCGGAGATACCTTTAAGCTGCGGGCGATTTGGCAGCAGATCACTTAGCAGAGATTTCAACAGTGATATCCAGTAGCAATGGAAAACAACTGAATGTAAAATCAAACAGCGAAACAAAAAATGCTGAGGTTGGTTCTGCAATGTTCTGTGACCAATGTACTAAGTTTTATATAAAATAATGAGGTTAACATGATAAATGAATATATCTGTTATTTGTGATAAGCTGTCTTTAGGTCTTAGTCTCTGTCTGAACATCTGATCACGTATAGTTTGAGAATGGAGGTGGAGGCAGTCACTGCTGCCTTCCGCTGGCTTAAGAATCAGTAGACACACATGCTGTGGTTGTCACTGATTCACAGAGCATTTTGAGAAGGGTGGAGTCAGGGATGCTTGTACAGAGTGGCAAGCATCACTTCAGAGGTCCTGGGTAGTTAGTATTCTTTGGATATTCTCTCCAGGTGATGCCGGTGTGTTGGGAAATGAGCAGGCAGATAGACTGGCCGATTCTGCACGACTTGGCGGTGTACTGAATTGATGTATGACAAGCTAAATGTTGTAAGGACCTTATGAGAGGGAGTAAACAGATCATTACGGTCTGAGAAGAATGGCGCTGCAAGGAGTTACCAGGAAATCTGGCCGACGCTCAACACTCAAGGAAAGGGTGAGACGAATATATAAAGACAGTGTCTAGTGCCATTGGAACTTCAACTCCTTGTTTGCTGCTGAAGATGTGGTCGGAGCGCTTATGGGGGTGTCCCGAGTGCTATGATGTTGATTCTTATTTCAACATTCAACAACATAAAGCAATTTTAAAGTAATTACAAACTGTAATTGGATTAACTAAAACAAAACAAAACATACCATAGCTTCGGGCTCATCAGATGGGTCAGTGTGACTAAAGTGTGAAGCTTTCATCTCCGCTGTTTTATTGCTGTCAGTCTGTGGGGGAAAATGAACACAAGAAATCAGCAAACACAAATATCTGTTACCGAAACAATTAATAAATTATTCTATTTGTTACAGGAGCCACTGTGGCATAGCAGCTAAAGACTTGCCTGGTGGCACAATGGTCTTGAATTTGAATGTGCAAGCAACACTCCAGTTGTGGAACAAGACTTAAGTCCACAAGTGGATGACATAAATTTCCACAGGAGATTTCAGCTGATGAATGTGAAGAAGAAGAAGAAGAAGAAGAAGAAGAAGAAGAAGAAGAAGAAGAAGAAGAAGAAGAAAGAAGAAGAAGAATAGAAGAAGAAGAAGAAGAAGAAGAAGAAGAAGAAGAAGAAGAAGAAGAAGAAGAAGAAGAAGAAGAAGAAGAAGAAGAAGAAGAAGAAGAACAAGAAGAAGAAGAAGAAGAAGAAGAAGAAGAAGAACAAGAAGAAGAAGAAGAAGAAGAAGAGGAAGAAGAAGAGAAGAAGAAGAAGAAGAAGAAGAAGAAGAAGAAGAAGAAGAAGAAGAAGAAGAAGAAGAAGAAGAAGAAGAACAAGAACAAGAACAAGAAGAAGAACAAGAAGAAGAAGAAGAAGAAGAAGAAGAAGAAGAAGAAGAAGAAGAAGAAAAAGAAGAAGAAGAAAAAGAAGAGGACGAAGAAGAAGAAAAAGAAGAAGAAGAAGAAAAAGAAGAGGACGAAGAAGAGGACGAAGAAGAAGAAGAAAGAGAGTAGAACCATCTTACCTCTGTAGCGTTACCGTCAAGTCCACATTTTGCTCGAAGCTCTCGTAACTTCTCCCTGTAGTAGTCTACATCGGGCGGGTCTGAGTCGGACCCACCTGTTGTGTTGGCCGCATTTTCATCAGTACAGTTGTGGTAGCTCATGTTTGGATTTTCAGCTGGAACAGTTCAAACAGCAGAGAAAACTTCAGAAGGTTGGCATTGAAAAAAAAAAAAAAGAAAGAAACATACATTTTTAGATTGATATGCAGTTATATTCCAGGTTTTCTCATCTCTCTTTCCATGAATCTTCCAGTCAATATATATATATACCAGGTTTTCTCATCATGCTGGCATCTGCCACTTAGGTAGTAGGGAGCGGTTTGTAATTCTGAGATACCATCAAGCTGTAAGCGATTTGGCAGCAGATCACTTAGCAGAGATTTCAACAGTGATATGGAGTAGCAATGGTAAACAACTGAATGTAAAATTACCAAGTAAAATCAAACAGCGAAACAAAAAAATGCTGACATTGGTTCTGCAATGTCCTGTGACAAATGCAACTAACTTTTTCATAAAATAATGCGGTTAACAAACCAGCATAATGACTGGTTCATTATTACACATCTCTTCTTTATCATCATCATATGTTTTGCCAACTGGTGTGGAAGATCATGCTTTACATTTAGCAAACTCTAACAGTCAAATTTGCTTTATCTGTCCTTTCAATGCTATGACACACAAAAAATAGCTGTCAAGAATATTCTCGTTCTCATCTATATAAAATATGCGGAGCTCTGTGGCGGAACTAGCTCCAATATATTATCTGATGTGGAATTAATCCCATGCAATACAGTATTTGAGTAGTATACCTAACTTCATTTCACTAATCCACTCAACTGTGACTACAAAGCTTTAAAAAAAAAAAAGGAACAACACACAAGAAAAACACCAAAGGGCAGAGTATCCTAGCTATCAGGACAAGATACTGTTGATTAGCCTATCTTCCCTGATTCTCAATGTTATCAAGGAGGCAAGATGAGAAGATGGTTCAGGAGACGATGTTGAATCAGCAATACTCAAAAGACTCAAGAACTTCACATCAAAAGAGATGTCGCCAAACATAAACACTATACAGGTAGCCAAAGAAGAATAGTAAACCAATACAGAACTGGTGTTATCAGTCACCACAAGCTGAGGGATGTATTGAAGATGGCATCCGATCGCTTATGGACTTGTCCGATGTGCAATGAGGATAATCTGTCCATTAACTCGCTTATGGACTTGTCCGATGTGCAATGAGGATAATCTGTCCATTAACTCGCTTATGGACTTGTCCGATGTGCAATGAGGATAATCTGTCCATTAACTCGCTTATGGACTTGTCAGATGTGCAATGAGGATCATCTGTCCATTAACTCGCTTAACTAACTAAACATTAACTCGCTTATGGACTTGTCCAATGTGCAATGAGGATAATCTGTCCACTAGCTAGCTAACTAACTAACTTCCTTGGTCACGTAAACTAAATGAAACGATATCATTAGAAGGCACACATTTGAACCAAATGGATATGGTTAGTCACCAAAAAATCAGCATCGCAGTCAAGGTCAATATTTACAAATCACTGGTAGGTCTATTTTCTTCTACGGATGCGAGAGTGGAAATGTAAATGCTACAGACACATTTTACGAATTAGTTACTCAGAACACAAAACTAATAAATATGTCAGAGACAAAATATTCAAATTTGAGGGACATCGGGAGCCTCTATTGGCAGTGGTGAAATGTCGCAAGCTTGCTTGCTTTGGGCATGTGGTGAGACGATTCGATTGCAAAGACTGTAGTCGAGGAAGAGGAGGGCAAAGAAGGATGGGCTGTCCTGGGAAAGTAAAGACAGCCGGCGTAATGCTGACAACATTACCCACCGAATGCTGATGGTCTGTAAAAATATGGGCGCTCTTCCCATATGCCCGATACGCCTAAAGGCTTGAAAGGGATCTTTACTTACTAGTACTCCCATCAATACACCTCCATGACACTAATGGGTCAAGGGTTATGTTATGTTATATATGTATGGTAAGTCACAGCATGCTGATGGCTTCATAATGGAGAAGACTGGGGCATTAAACAAAACCGGGGATGCAGAGATGTTGAGCCACACGTAGTGATGCTTCATGATCACAGCTTATACTCAGTGTTTCCTCAAAGTCAGACTGCATTTACCAGAAGGGGAAAGGAGCTAACAGTCTGCACCCAGGTTTGTAAAACGGATATACACACAACACCGAAGTCCTAGAACAAAGCCAGAAATGGATGAAAAACCAGGACTTTCCACCAGAGCTTACAGCCAGTGAATGCAAAGAAGAAGAAACAAAACTGAACAGAACATTCAGCGGAAAAGTTCACAGACCAGGCACAGATGCCACCATACCCAACTTCTTGACCCTCCTCTCCTCTTCTATCTCTGATAACATGTTGTTGATGTACTTCTGGAAGTGTGGTGAGGTCTTCTTCAGAAACGGGTCAACATCAGCCTCTGGGTACTTCCTCTTGAAGTCAAACAGATCGTTCAAACCCTGTTAATGATTGTATTAAGAAGCAATAAGTTAGATCTGCATAAAAAACAATAGATAGAGGTCAAAAAGACTTAGTTTAAAAGCAAAACTCAGGTTATTCAAGATTTAAGAATGAAGAGGTCAGGTGAGAGAATATCACGTCTAACACCTGCTAGTGGTCTTTAATTCTTTTCTGACTTTTGGTCTGCTGTTCTTACATAATTTCTGCAGCTACTAGTTCAGTCACCAAGTAATGAAATCTGTCCAAAAAATGCTCTTGATTGGTATACAGCCTAATCTAAGTTTCTTCCTGCTGTAGTCCTCCGACAAACTATCCAAATGTAAGTATGATAATTTCTAGTTTACATAAAGTCATACTAAACAGAGAATTCACTAAATGTACTATAAAACTACATCTCTTGTTTGTCAAGGCAAAAAGCACAAACTACCTGTTAAACATGAAACGCTTACAACGAAAGTGAAGTGTTCACAAAGAAAGTGAAGCGCTTACAACAAAAGTGAAGTGTTCACAAAGAAAGTGAAGCGCTTACAACAAAAGTGAAGTGTTCACAAAGAAAGTGAAGTGCTTACAACAAAAGTGAAGTGTTCACAAAGAAAGTAAAGCGCTTACAACAAAAGTGAAGTGTTCACAAAGAAAGTGAAGCGCTTACAACAAAAGTGAAGTGTTCACAAAGAAAGTGAAGCGCTTACAACGAAAGTGAAGTGTTCACAAAGAAAGTGAAGCGCTTACAACAAAAGTGAAGTGTTCACAAAGAAAGTGAAGCGCTTACAACAAAAGTGAAGTGTTCACAAAGAAAGTGAAGTGCTTACAACAAAAGTGAAGTGTTCACAAAGAAAGTGAAGCGCTTACAACAAAAGTGAAGTGTTCACAAAGAAAGTGAAGCGCTTACAACAAAAGTGAAGTGTTCACAAAGAAAGTAAAGCGCTCACAACAAAAGTCAGCTTGTGACCTGATCATTGCCTGGGGTCAACATGTGTGTATTTAATGTTTAAGCATGTCTTGTTAGCTACCTGTATTAACTATAGCCTGTTCCTTTGTTGATCTACTGTTAACTCCTTTTCTACCATGACATAAGAGCAGCATTTTAGGAATATTATGATACAACACTGAGTGTTGGCAAATGACAGCAGGTACTATACATATAAACTAGAGATGTTCCAAAATAAACGTCTAAAGAGAATCCTGTAAATATTCTGGCCACACAAGATCTCCAGTGAAGAACTGAAGAGGAGAACACTCTCTACCACTGGCAAACTTTATCAAAGAAAGAAGGGGGAGACAGTCTGATAATGTTTGCAGAATGCCTAGTGATACTCTGGCAAGGAAAACTCTCTGATGGAAAAAGGCAACGTGGACGACTTAAGGAAACATGGAGGCCAGCAGAAAAGAAAATGAAAGAATGAAAAAAGACACAGGAACATATACAATAGACTAGCTACGAGTGCTTCAATCATGACACTTGTCGGATCACAGACGAGGTAATGGGAAAGTAGAAGAGAAAGAAACAAGAAGAGAAGGTGCGAGAGGATGGAGAAGGAAGTTGAGGAACAACAAGTTAATGAACAGTGGGAGGAGCAGAGGAGAAGGAAGAAGTGAAAGAAAAAGAGGAAGTAAATGAGGAGGAGGAAGAGAAGGAATGTCAAAAAAAGAGGAAGTAAATGGGGAGGAGGAGCAGAAGAGAGGGAAGAAGTGAAAGAAAAAGAGGAAGAGGAGCAGAGGTGAAAGAAAAAAGAGGAAGAAAAATTAGGAGGAAGAGCAGAAAAGAAAGAAGAAGTGAAAGAAAACAAAAATTTCATTTATTGAAAGCGTCTGCTGCTTTTTTACATCAATTAAACATATTGTGTTTGACCACATACTTTAGTGAACACATGGAATTAACTTAGAAAAAAAAGAATAGACAACAGATGCAGAGTAGTCTGAAGAAAAAAGCATACACATACCTCTCGAGTGTTTTCTTTGTTGCCAATCTTCTTGAAGATCTCTGTGAGCAGCTCATGTGTTTTTGACACCCTCTTTACCTTGGAGGCACTCTGGAAAAACACACAAATCAACCTGGTTGACAACTGTTCACTAAAAAATAACATATTTTTTCTGCATGGGTTCCGGGTTCCCACTATGGGGAAACAAGAACAAACCCCTGGCTCCCCAACAAGCATGTTGTGTAAGTCGATTAACTGGGGGCTTTATTTGAAATCAGAGTGCATCTGCCTGAGATGCAAGGAACCAACAATCTGCATACAAATAAGCCAGATGTGTAAAGTGGATGTGCACGCAAAACTCAAGTTCTGGAACCAGACAAAAGTCTTGAAGCGGACAAACAACCAGAACTTTCTGCTGGAGTTTACAGCCGGTGGATGCTGAGAAGAAGAAAAAGAAGATACACATATTGAAGCAAAATCAAAGGAACATAAAATATGTATAGAAAGCCCAATAAAAGGATAGACCCACACAGACACAAGTAAACATTTGGACCCGAGCTTTCTTCAACTAACAAAACAGGAATACTTAGCCAACAAACAATCACAAATAAGTAATAAATACAATTTAATTAGAAAACAAACACAATCTTAAGTCTAGAATGAGAAAAGAGAAACCAAGATAGGGGTATTTCTAAACAATGCATGTATAATATTCTACCTTATCATGACAATTAACTGTCTAAACAGGTGAAACAAGATAGGGGTACCTCACAACATATTCTGCTTTTCCATAAAGAGAAGCTGACTCACTTTAATTCTCTCTGTACTCCCATCCTCTTGCTTGTAGCTGCTCTTGGCCAGGACTGTGTGTAGATAAGCTTCTACTTCTGAGTTCTCTGAAGCGCCAATTAGTCCAGTGTGACTCAGAATCTGCGCATGAATGAAACAGATTTTCAGCAATGAACAAGCTCTGTAACATGCTTTTTTTTTTTTTCATTTTTTGTGCATTATGTGCAGTGGGTAATACAGACTGCTTCTCAATCTTTTGGCTAAGATCAAAGTGTAGTGTTCTGTACATGATCTACCAAACAGACTGGATCAGTCACACCACAACACAAATGGGGAGAACCAAGGGGGGGGGGGGGGAATTAAATAACACATCGGGAGGTCTCCTGGTCGGTCTGGTGACCTGACATTAAATTCTTCCGGTGTTCGGGATGCAAGGTCAGCATTATTGGGGCCAACCCAGCCCTTCTCTCAAGTAAATAGGGTTTAAACTTATCCAATTTAAAAAAACACAGCTATCATTGAGTTATTTCAATTAAACTCTTCTGTCAGTATTTTTCTATAGACATATAATATAACCACTACTTCTGATGCATTCTCTTTGAACTAAAACGTAATCAATTAATCCTTAGTGAAAACTAAAGACTTCTTAGTATGAAATACAAACATATTTCCAGCATATGAAGCAAGTCATTCTGCATAACAGCGGCTTATTTGTTTCCATTTTGCACAGGTATTTTATGGTGTCACGTACAGCATATTATATAAATAAAAAAAGGTTTTCATCAAAAATATGTTTACATTTTTTTTAAATATATGAAACCACACTTTGATGCGTGTCCTCGAATGCTGAAGAACAAGTATAAGCACAGATGGAGTTATGCTTGTAATGACGTGGTGATAGATTTATGTTTTCCTTTGCATGGAAGCTTTGCAGAAAGGACTTAGCATTGTAGTAGTTAAATCATCATTTAATCATCAGTAGTTGTCTTCCTATTAAACACATAATCACACTGATATGATCAGGTCGACCCAGCCTTAAATGAGTATCAGAAAAATTCCAGTGAAGTAAAGGCGGCTGGCGTGATACTGACCAAATATCCACTGAGTACCAACTGGTCTATTAAACATAGGTTTAGCACTAAATGCCCAATGCGTCTGAAGAAATATCCTTGATATTTATTTCAATGGTATGCTTACATGCCTTTATTTAAAATATCCTTTACATTATTTTTACACTGATAAAACACAAGCTTCTTTCCCTTAACTGATTAGCACCTTACCTGCAATAGTTAGACTTTCAATCGCTCAGATAAACAGAACAGGTAGCCTGCCTACAGCACGTTATAACTATTCTGCAGTTGGGGTCACATTTACTGGGGTTAATCAACAGTCTGTAGAGAATGGTACAGCAGGAAGTACCCTATTTGGTAGTTCTTCCTGGCCGAAAAATAAAATTCAGAGGAAAGACAAGCCTAACGCATAATCAGACTATTGCTGGCACAATCAATGTAGGAACTCTGCAGTGGTTGCTGATGATGAGGACTGAGCACTTATGGGAATGCCCTGAGTGATATGATGTCAGTTTTTACTCAATTCAACTCACCGCTGTAGGGTTTAAAACATGATTATGTCATAGTGGTGTATAAACAAGGATCAAGATTTAAAAATTATTTATTAGTATATAATTTTACTGTTAAGTGATCTACTGGTCCGGCTGGCATATAGTAGTAAACATTAGCCTATAAGGTGCTCTTTAATAACTTTTTCTGTGCAAGAAACGCTGGGGGCTCGCTGAGAAATAAATGTCAGTATTTCTTCTTCTTCTGGGTTCATCTGAAGATGTAAAACATGATGTGCCCATTTACCATATGGTTGCCATTTTTGCGCCTTTCGGCCAAAACATCTCACTTTTGCAGACACTTGTTGCCAGGTTAGCCTTTCCAGTTGTATTTTAGGAAAGAAAAAAAAAAAGACAATGATGTCTTCTTACCTTATGACCCTTGAGTTTGGTCAAATTGTGAAGTAAAGTTTTAATTGTCCTAATTGGCATATCTAGGTTTGGTCGGCTTTTCCAGCTAGATGTAGGGAACTGCTGGAAGAATAGATGTGCTTCATAGAGAACTCTGTCGCAGTTCAGATCATTGATGTTGTCAGGGACCAAGTTCAGGATTTTCCACAAACACTGTCATGAAGGAAAGAAAGCGGATCATTGATAAAATGCTGCATGCATACATTCTCTCTCTCTCTCTCTTTTTTTTAACCCCCCCCCCCCTTCCAATCAAGGATTGCATTCTGTAGGATTACCGCCTCAAAGATGAGAATCAAACAGGCTCAAATCCTTGAAACCTTGCCCAAACATAGATCACAGTTATACTGTGGTGCTCACTGGCTACATACAAAGTGACCTACAGTCTTTCTTACTCTTCTTAACGTTCGCCAGCTGTTAACTCCATCGGAAAGTTTTGGTTTTTCGTCTACTTCTGAACTCTAGTCCTATTCACAAATTTGGCTCATTTGTATGCAGACTGTTGGTTTCTTGTCTCTCTAGCAGATGCATTTTGATTCAAAAAGGAACACAGCTAATTAGTTGCCTTATACAACATGCTTGCTGGGGGGTCGGGTATCAGGGTTGCGGTCAACCCCCCCATTAAATGTGGTCCCAACCCATAACAGGAACCTGCAGTCCAAAGTGGGTAGGTAAGCTGGAACAGTGCATGTCTTACATACATTCTCTTGTTGAGGTGGTCACGGTTTCCCTCCAGGACTGCTGTCCATGAGATTAACACCTCAAGGAAGAGAATCAAGCAGACAGCCATGTTGCAGAAATATGACGAACACACAGCAAGTGGAAAGACCACGCAAAATATGTAATGATGGCATCAAGACCAGTCTTAAAGAAATGAAGATCAGTTTATACAACACATTATTAAAAGCACTGAGAAGATCTTTACATCAACTACATCTAGATGAGATAACTGGAGAGAAAGAACAAGAAGACCCAGGCATATACAATCAGTCAAAGTGAAAGAGAAGCATACCTTAATAACTAGATCCAGGAACTTGTTGGAGCAGGTTTCACTCTGTAAACACTCTCTCATTAGAGATATAATTGCACTAGAGATAAACAAAACAAAAACAAAATCCAATATTAGCTCCTATGGACATTTCAAAAGGTATCTGGAGCATTAATCTAAAATATGTTACACCAAGTATAGTCTTACAGTCTTTTAGTCAAGTAAAGGACCTTTTTCCATGTCTTCAGGCATACTGGGTATATGGTGCTAAACCTATATTTTACAGATGAATCAACATTCGGCTGGTGTTGGGATCAACATCAAGCATGTCGCTTTTACTTCCCAGGACTTTACCTAGTAGGCATTTAAGGCTGGGTTGACCTGGAAGCCAATATACATTCTTTTTTTTAAACCCACAACCTTCTGATCTGCTGCAGAGCGTCTAGCCACTACACCACAATGTCTCCCTTTGTTCTTGGTGGATGAATGATAACCAATACCCTTTAAGCTCAGCGGCATCTGTGAAGCAACGAGGAACCACTCATTTGATTCACAGCTAAAAAATGACAACTCCTCTTTTCCATGTTCTGGTTTACAATAAATGTAGTCGTAAATAAAATTCCTGAGTGTCAATACAGGCATTAACACTTTCAATGGCCATTCCATTCAAACATTTGTTAATTACAATTTCTTTATTTCTTTATGTCCCAAACAGAGCATGGACACACCTTTGCATGACAAGATTTTTGACAGCCCCGAAGGCACAGTGCGGAGGCACAAACAGATCCCCATGGTCTGAGTAGAGTGGTGCGGCAAGTAGTAACCAGTGGATCTTATCGATGCTCAACACTCCAGGGAAAGGCGAGCTGGGTATACAATCAGTTACTGGTGCCATCGGAATTGGAACTCTTGTGTTTGCTGCTGAATATGGGATCGAGCTCTTATGGGAATGTCCCGAGTTCTGTGATGTCGATTTTTAATAAAACATTCAACGTGACAGCCCTTGGTAGGCAGTTTTTGAAGGCTCATACCGACCCTCCTTAGTCACCTCTTCTGACAAGCATAGTAAGTTATAGTTCCTACTCGGGTTAAACCCTTGTTCCTTGATGTGTTCCGGCAGCAGCTGCAGTATGCTTTGTGCATGCTGAGACAGATCATGACGCACGAGCAAGACGTGGTCTCTATAAAACTGCATAGGCTTTGTGCTATGAAAGAATAGACAAGACAGCTTCCCTGCCCCCCCCCCCCCCCCATCACACTATAAAAGCCACCGTAGTGTAGCGGCAAGAGGCTCATCTGCAGATCCGAATACTGCGGATTCAGGTTCTGAGGAAGCCTGACTTTTTCCAAACAAGACCTTGGCTTACCCCCCCCCCCCCCCCCGAGTGTCGATTGGTCTATAAAATATAGGTCCAGCTCAACACGACCAATCTGCCTAAAGGTGTGAGAAAAAGGATCCTTTGTTATGCCTCCACATAGTGCAATACAACACTATTGTCTGAAAATACGGAAAGGTACCAGTCAAGTAACACAAGCTAATTACAATGGTATTCTAAACGTTGACACCTAATATAAACATTTTATACATCTGGAATGACCTCTGGTGGGAAGCAAATCTTGTCACTGCTTGCAGTGGGGGTTGAGTGGTATCTGGTCATGGCGTCCGCCCCGAGCGCTGGAGGTCCCAGGTTCAGGCTGGGATTTTTTCACGTGGACTTCTGGTAATTTCCCCTGGTCTCTGGCTAGTAAGATTGGATGCCTGTGTGCACTGTTGTGCCCGTAAAAAATCCTTTGGCAGTTACAAATTGAAAAAAAGAGTAGCTTAACGGCCCTGCCCGGGCAAAATTTTGAGTTAAAAATCTACTTAAAGTATTTCAGGATCCTGGCCGGCGCTAGTTCATACACTACGCTGAGCTTCTTTGGACTCAGGATTGAGGTGGAAGTAGAACGGAGCACTTATGGGTTACTACCCTTGTGCCATGATGTTGATCAGTTGTATAAAACAAGGTTGTGGAAGTGAATAATTGAACCATTAAACCAACATAGGTTTTGAATCAACACAAGAATTAGAAGGAAAAGTTTTCTCCTTTTCCTTCGTATTAACTGGCTGTAAACTCAGGCGGAAAGTTAGGGTTGTTCATCCACTTTTGAACTGTAGTCTTTTTTTACAGAAATTTAGTTTTCTGGCTTATTTATATGCAGCCTGTAGGTTCCTTGCCTCTCGGACATATGCACTCCGACTTTGAAGGAAATACCCCTATTTAGTCGACTTTTTATTACATGCATTTAGGGGGGGGCAACAGGGCCCGCAACACACCTATAAAGGAAAAATAACAACAATAACTATACGAGAACTAGTGACAAACTCAGACCCAGCTGAGCCCATCTACACACTAGCTGACCAGTCATTGATGATTGGTCAGGCTGGTCCACGTTAAAGGGGTGCAGAATGGACTCTCTCGTCAGACTTAGGTTCAGTATGTAGGGGTAGGGAGGTTGGGGTTAGGGCCCAGTTGTACATATTATGGGGTCGTTAAAATACCGCTCACATCCTGTAATATAGAGCTTGCGTGGTTGCTGGAAAGACTGCGGAGACAATACAATGTCGCAACAACCTGACATCCCTGCCACTGAAACTTACGCCTCTCAACGCTTAACATGCCTGACTGTACATCCAATCACAGTGTCCTGGCCTGACTTCGTCACCCATAAGTGTGCAGATGGGCGGATCTGAGCCTGAGTTAGTTACATCTTCCACTATACGCATATGAATCAATTATAAAAATCAATTACCAAGTGATGTTGGTGGGGTCAGATTTGTTAATGATCTTCACAACCGTCACATTAACCGTACGGATGATCTGTGGCCCCTCTTCCAGCTGTTCAATTTGCGTATCCAGCAGAACAATCAACAGGCTATGCATAAGATCTTTCAGGATGTTGGTGGAGGCTTTCTTACCCATGGAGGTTCGATCAAATATCTGATCAAGAGAAATAATGCAAACCATAAATGAATTAATGAATCAAGCAGAACAATCAACAGGTTATGCATAAGATATTTCAGGATGTTGGTGGAGGCTTTCTTACCCATGGAGGTTCGATCAAATATCTGATCAAGAGAAATAATGCACACCATGAATGAACTAAAACTTAATATCATGCCCTTTGGTAACTTCCACAGGTGCTCTGTCTTCCTTCGTCAGAAGCCACCGAAGAGTTCCCATACTGATGGTGCCAGTTGCAACCTGACTTAAAATATGCCAATCTTTTGCCTTTATACTGGTAATCTACCAGACCCTCTGCCTACTCCCTGCTGAATCAGTCTTGCACTGTCCTTTTATCCCAGAGAACCTTCACTGAGTACACTTTTATCATACAGTAGCTCACCACTCAGAGGGGCAAAAGCATCCAATCTATTAGCCATTCCTCCAGAAAGAAAGAAACAAAGAAAAACTATTGTTGATGATTATTGATTGATTCAATAAGTTAACACAATCAGCATCACTGCAATGAAAAGATATTCATATGTGGCATCTCAGCAAACTTCTTTTTTTTTTTTTTTAAAGAGTGGCTTGAGATGTAATGAGAATTATAAATTATGATAACTCTAACAAATAATTTTGATGAGATAATGCTATGCAGCAATTAATAAAAGAAGAAAAGGTTAAAAAAAAAAAAAAAGTTAAAGTCAGGAGATGTGAACCAGCGTCATTGCACACGGTTATAAACCATAAGTGAGTGCTCTGCCACCAGTACGGACAGCTGATAAGAATTGTCCGCCTGTGTCACCGTTCGAAGAAAAATAAGAAAAATCAGTTATTACAACAACAACCACAAATCAAACACAGCATTGAAAACAATGATGTGAGAAAAATAATATCTAGTGATAACTTTAATTTTTATGAATGTTTAATATTGGGAAAACCGATATAATTTTTGTTAAAAGTAAAAATAACAAAGAAAACTTATATTTCAATAAATTTAAGACAGAAAATATCTACAACAAGGAAATAAAAAAGATTTAAAACAAAACTAAAATCCAAATGGGAGAAAGAAAACTATTTCACTTGAACATAAGTTTCTCATACAAATTAACAAACAACCATTTCCAGAAAATAAAATAAAATAAATAATATAAAATAAGTGAAATACTATTAGAAAAATACTGACTGAATGAACAATATTAACACATACTCACACTAATTAGTGTGGACAGGAGGCATCGGTAAAGACGTATGACTTCACCATTCTCCACCTGTGGATCCATCAGATGTTTTCCAATGCCCAGCTTACATTGCATAGTTATAACAACCAGAAGGTTATCTATGTGATTTGCCATGATATCTGCTTTCTTCTCATCCTTCAGCACTTCGTCGATCTGTCAGACACACGCAGACACAGTAACCAACTAGCAGAAATATTCTTAAAAATATAACTTCTGCAGAAAATGAGGACATAATGTTGTAGTGTTCAATTGCCTGCCACATCCAGTTGCAGGGGAGTCACAATGTCTGCAGGAAACACTGTAGGATTAACCCTTTTGCCCCGAGAAGCCACAAAACCGACCATTCCGGTTGAAGCCAATTCCCCATATATGTCGCTTTTCCGACTTGTCTACAGTGACCTGTTAATGAGATGTACAATTGAAGCTATTGGCTATGTTCATGCATAAGCAATTGTTTAGAAGGTCAGGATGTGAATATATTAACTAAAAATAGCATGTGGGGGTGGGGGTGGGGGGGATACCTTCAAACAAAATTTGTTTTTGTCAAAGCCAAGTTGACATCAAAGTTCCCTAAGCCTCAGTGTTAAAGGTCACCAGGTCATGGCATGAGTCACCCAATAAATATATTTGTTCAGGACCTGGAGAATGTATTCCATGTAATGCATCACTGTCGTTGATTACTCCCTTTATATATCTTTACATATTTAGAGAGAAAAACCTTTTTTTTTTTGTAAAATCTGCATTGTCTTCTTCTTAGTGTTTACCTGCTGTAAACTCTGGAGGGAAGTTCTGGTTGTTTCTTAACTCTGGAGCTTTGGTTTTGATTGAGAACTAGAATTCTATGTGTGCATCAGTTTTACGAAATTAGTTTATTTGTATGCAGACTGTTGGTTCCTTGCCTCTCAGGCAGATGCACTCCGACATCGGAGGAAACACCTCTAATTAGTCGCCTTAAACAACATGCGATACCACCATCCAAAAAACAAATGACACCCAAAATGACAAGAAGACACAACAAGAAAACTGAAGCAGATGATTCAAACCTGTGCCAGAGCTTTGATGCTGGTGTTAATGCTGACATCAGAGATCTGAGAGACCACGGTACCGATGCTGGCCGACACATCTGCAGATCCAATCAATTTGGATGACACATTTGGAGACGCTGGGCGGGCCCTAAGTAAACAGAAAACGCAGGGAATGTTAAAGGGTAGAGAATCATCCCAAGCACAGTCAGTTTATAATATGACAAAGTCAGAGAAGCAAGAGACACTACAAATTATAAATCAAAGCAATGTTTCCCAATCTCTATATGTGAACAAAGAAGATACAAACAGTAGACTGCACAACTAACTGCTGACATATTGTGCTGTATCGTCAGGTGCATAAAGTAAAGTAAAAAAAGTAAAGGAACCTTTTCCACGCCTTTAGGCGTATAGGGCATATAGGGCTAGACCTATATTTTATAGACCTATCAGCAAAAGATGGGTGGTGTGGTCAGCATCATGCCGGCCGCCTTTACTTCCCGGCCGGTACCTACTCAAAGCTGGATCGACCTAGGAGGCAAAGTCATTTTTGAAAAAAGTACGGCTTTAGGTGCGCACGACAGTAAAAAAAAAAATGTAAAACATGAAATGTTTAAAAAAAAACTGTAACTGAAATATAAAATCAGCGACACTCAAATGTAATTTAGCGACTACAGTTTCGACAATTTGCGGTTTTTTGGCAATTTCCGTTACCATGGAAACCGTTTGAAACTTGTTTGGGAAATGTCGGCTGGGGTTTCGGGATGGGTCCTAATCTCTCATGAAATTTTGCAATTGGTGTGATTTTCTTCTTCTTCTGCCTTTCTATCCCCCAATGGAGCATAGGCCCTCAACCAACTCACGCCAAGTCGTTCTATCCTTCGCCATTACCTGGAGCTCTCCCCATGTCCTCCCAATCTTTCTAACCTCATTCTCCAGCTCTCTTCTCCATGTGTTTTTTGGCCTTCCTTTATTCCTATGCCCCTGTGGGTTCCAATGCAAAGACATTCTAGTTATGCTGTTCTCCTGTTTTCTCAGTGTGTGCCCTATCCAACGCCAGCGTCTTTTCCTCACCTCCTGATCCACTGAAGCCTGTTTAGTTCTCTCCCAAAGTTCTACATTAGTTATTCTATCATACCATTTTATTCCCTCTATTCTGCGCAGGCACCAGTTAATGAATGTCTGTAATTTATTAGTAATTGCCTTGGTTGTTCTCCATGTTTCGCCCCATACAATAGTACTGATTTGACATTAGAATTAAAAATTTTTAGTTTAGTATTTCTTTTAATTTCTTTTTGACCTCCACAAATTCCCTAGTTCTATGAAAGCCCCTCTTGCCTTTTGTATTCTTATTTTAATATCTCTATCAGTTCCTCCATCTTTATCTACATTACTGCCCAAATAGGTGTACGACTCCACGTCTTGGAGTGGAGTGCCATAAGAGAAACACACATTACTATTTGCCTGATTTATTCTCATTATCTTTGTCTTTCCTTTATGGATTTTTCAGACCAAGCTGCTGTGATCTCGCATTAAGTATATTTAATTTATCTTGTATCTGATTCCGTGAATGGGGCAGAAGGGCAATATCATCAGCGAAGTCCAGATCATCAAGCTGTTTTGTAGGGGTCCACTGAATTCCATTCTTGGTGTTAGCAGTTACTGTTTTCATAGTCCAGTCTATAGCCAGTAAAAATAGAAGAGGCGACAAAAAGACATCCCTGTCGCACACCTGTTTTTTATTTCAAATGCATCTGTTAGCTTTCCCTCATGAAGAACTCAACATTTCATGTCTTTATATGTTGCCTTTACTAAGTTGATAATTTTCTGTGGGATTCCATAGTGCCCCATCAATTTCCAGAGAGATTCCCTATCAATGCTGTCAAATGCTTTTTCATAGTCTATAATCCAATGTAAAGTGGTGAGTTCAGATTCAATGCTTTGCTCTATTATAATACGTAATGTGGCTATCTGATCAGTACAGGATCTGTTTGACCGAAAACCTGCCTGCTCATCTCTTAGCATTTTTTCAATAGCATCTTTTAATCTTTCCAAAATAATTCTACTTAATATTTTTTCCAGGAACTGACAGCAACATAATTCCTCTATAGTTTTCACACTCCTGTAGATCACCTTTTTTGGGCAGTTTCACAAGATATCCTTCTCTCCAGTCTGCTGGTATTTCTTCGGTCTCCCAGACTTTACTGAATAATCTATGTAGCAATTCTGTTGATGTGTTTATGTTGGTCCTGATGGCTTCAGCTGGGATACCATCTGGGCCTGACGCCTTGCCTTCCTTAAGAAGATTTATAGCTTTTCTAATTTCCTCTTTGGATGGTATCTCACAGTTGATATCCAGTTCCATTTCTAAAGGCTGGATATCTGGGGGAACCTCTGGGCCTGGTCTATTTAGAAGCATTTCAAAATATTCAACCCATCTGTCCATTTGATCTTTAGTGTTAGTAAGTACCTTTCCTTGACTATTTTTGATTGATCCAGTTGGCTGACTATATTTACCTATTAATTTTCTTGTGTTACTGTAAAGTTCTCTGAGGTTTCCTTTTGCTGCTGCTGTCTCCGCTTCTTGTGCTAGATCATTTAGATATTTCACTTTATCTGCCCTTATATGCCTCCTTCCTTGTTGGCTTCTGTGTAATTTTCCTGAGCTCTAGCTTTAGCAACTATAGTTTTGCTATTGTTTAACTCTGCCTTTTTACTTTTCCTATCTTCAATCAGTTTAATGGTTTCTGGTGTTATCCATGCTTTATGTTTCCTTTCTTTCTTGCCAAGAACTTCTACGCAAGATTCATTCCAGATTCCTTTGATCTGATCCCAGCAGACTTCTGTGTTGACATCTTCAGCTAACTGCTGCAACACCTGGTACTTATTAGAGACCATAACTGAGAACTGTTCCTTAATTTCTTTATCTCTGAGAAAGCCTACATTATATTGGTTTCTATGATTATAAGATGTTATATATCTTTTTAGTTTCAACTTGATTTTACTTATCACCAGGAAATGGTCAGTAAATACATCGGCACCTCTGAAAGCCCTAACATCGTAAAGGGATGATCTAAACTTTTTGTTAATACATATGTGGTCAATTTGATTAGTTGTCTTATGGTCTGGTGATTCCCATGTTGCCTTGTGTATTCTTTTATGGGGAAAAATACTTCCACCAATAACATACTGGTTACCTGCACAAAAATTTGTGAACAATTCTCCATTTTCATTCATTACTCCTAGACCATGTCTCCCCAAAATTTCTTCATAACCTGTGTTGTCTGATCCTATCTTAGCATTCAAGTCACCCATCAAAATTTTTAAGTTGCCCTTTCACCAGCTATGAATAGCTGAAACTAGGATTACCAGATTACCAGCTGAAAACGGCGGGAACGATCCCGATTAACAGCGCATGTCTACGACAGCCGGACGTCCTCTGTTTTTCTGTTACATCAGTTTGATTGAAAATAGCGCTAAGTATTCACGGTTGGCTTTAGGCCTTAAATATTACCAGACATGGTAATGCTAGTTATAACTGAATTCTCCGTCCAATTTTACATTTGTGTATAAAATTTCTTTCTTATCTGTGGATTTACAGTGACATTTTTCAGGCAATCGCTATTATGTGGCTGTGTCTGAGAAAAATTGTCTGCCATCTTGTCCAATGAAAACAAAGCCAAAATGAAAGTGCGCAGTTTGGTTGCGCAGAGAAAACTTCTTGTTTCTGAGACGCAAGTTTTCAACAGCTGTTTTTTACAGCTCATCTCAACAAAAACCTACATATCTCAGCTCAGAAATGACATACAAGCCTAAATGAGGTACCGTTGGAAAGAGATTGTTTACAGCTTTCTAACTGTGCTGGTTTTATTGGTGTAGAGGGCATTTTACAAATTTGACTAAAGTACCTATGTAATTGATTGTTTTACTAAGGCAAATGCAAATCAGGTCTTTTTAGTTGCTAAGATCTTGAGGAAAGGGATTTACTGTTGTGGCTTTAATGGATCGTTGTATTCTGCAACTGGTCAAAGTATACAGAATTTGAATGCACTGTTCTTGTTTACAATGTGGCATGAATTCAAAAGGTAGCTCACGAGGGAGGAAAAACGTGAATTATTATCAAGTAATCAAGTGTAGTGATGTGGATTAAAGGGCACTGAGGGAAAATGGTAGAATACTCAATTAACATGTTTTGTTTTTTTTCCCAGCTGTCTTCACACAAACTGCCAGACAACTGCACCTATTGAGCACAAACATAAAATGTGCAACCTCTCTATACTACTTTTTTAAAAAAATTTGTATCCATGGCTTTTTTAGACATTGTGTAACGGTAACGAAACCACCTCAGTGATTTCAGAATTTAATAGGTGTAATAATTTCTTTTGTTCAATAAAGAAACTAAGAAATATATTTACTATGCACAAAGCGCAAATACTAAAACCATGTGGGATTAAAAATTGTTTTCAGTGTTTTTAGACCAGACAAAGAAACGAGACCTGGCCTAAGATTACATATTATTACTAGCCAGTCCACCGTGGGATTAAAAATTGTTTTCAGTGTTTTTAGACCAGACAAAGAAACGAGACCTGGCCTAAGATTACATATTATTACTAGCCAGTCCACCTGGGATTAAAAAATTGTTTTCCAGACAAAGAAAAGAAACGAGACCTGCCCTAAGATTACATATTATTACTAGCCAGTCCACCGTAAAGAAACGAGAGGTGTCAGAAATATTACAGGCCAAGGTTGGCCCTTCTGAACCTGCCCACTCAGGGGAATTAACCTGGGCAAGTAGGAAACTCCAGGCATGATAGCTTCACTAGGCTGGTTTTTCACACCTTTCAGTGACACTGGGTAGAACCAGATTTGTGCCACTTAATAATGTTTAAAAACTTTCACTCATCACAGAGGCATCTATCCATGGGGACCAACGACACTAACGGTAGGCAGTACTAACCCCTGTTTATTTTAGGCATCAATTTTTTCAGCAACAGTGCAATACAAATTTTGAGGTAAGTACTGGCACTTTTTTTTTTTTTTAAAGACATTTTGAGGTGAGTGAAGGCCCAAAAGATTTATAGAAAAAAAATCAACTATACCTACTATTGATAAATGCTTTTATGTTAGTAAAACTGTGTTTGTACTATCAATGGTAAAGTTTAGTTGAAATCTAAATATGGGACTGAATGCTGCGATTTAATGAGATCGTGTTTCTGTTATAAGCCAATTAAATATGTGACGGGCGCGATGTCCAGAGAGACATTAACAAAAAAGACATGCAAACAATCTGGTAATCCTAGTTTCAGCTTCATAGCAAACGGGTCATCCCATAGTTGCTTTGCTCCTGTGCCAACACACATAGCTCACAGTGTCAAGCCATGCACTCAACTCAGAAGCTGGAGGACGAAACATTTGCCACAGATATTTAAAAAAAAGTGGCCATGCCTAGCGTCCATTTTGAACTGAAGCATTATATGAGGGTTAATAAACGGTCACCCCAGCAGTACCCTCACTATTAGCTGGAGAAGGGACTTCTCACATTACATCCACCAGCAGGCGTCGCCCCTATAATGACCTGACTGCCTTCATTAACGACTGTTCACCCAACAGCCATGCAGTTCTTTGGCACGAAGAAGACACCTTGAACTTGGGTTATGCAAACAATACAATAGGTGAATGCACTAGTCACATCAAAGAGGAAAAAGAATATAACAGACAAATAAGACACCTGGATTGGGGGAAGGTTAAATAAGTGGTAACATGACAAATCTCTCACAATATACATCCATTAGCTTACATAATCTTTGGTTTGGTGACAGGTGCCATGAGAGCCTCTAGGTCCAGCTCTATCAGGCTGGGGACTACCGGCTCCCAGTTGTCATCCAGATCAATGTCCAGCTGGTAGGTCTTCTTCATTAACGGCAGGTGCCCGTGTCCGGCAGACATGTTAGGTCTGCAAGACAGATTGGTGACCATTAGAGTTCCATTTACCTGAGCAGCTTCAATTTTACAAACACTTTTAACATGATATCAAGTACATGTTTGATAGATTATCAACAGCTGTACAAATGCAAGGAAGAAATAAAAAAAAATTTTTTTTTTGCTAATTATTTATTTTATAATTTTGTAAGAGTTAGCAATCTTTCCATGATAGATGTGCAGCTGAAACTGTTGAATCAGGAGTACAAATAACATTTGTGTGTGTGTGTGGTTATACAAACGAGTCAGTAGCTAAAGACAACACACAGATGGCCAAAACCTCTACCAGATGAAAACCCAAACATTCTAACTTAAAGAATGGGATAAATTAATTAAAACTACAGCGGATCAGTAACTAAAACAAGTAATGTATCTGTAGCTAAATAAGAATTGAATAATTAGCTAAAATGAGTAATGTATCTAGGTAAAATAAGAATGGGATCACTAGCTTAAACGAGTAATGGATCAGTAGCTAAAATGAGTAATGTCATCTAGGTAATGGATCAATAGTAATGGATCAGTAGCTAAAACGAGTAATGGATCAGTAGCTAAAATGAGTAATGTATCTAGGTAAAATAAGAATGGGATCACTAGCTTAAACGAGTAATGGATCAGTAGCTAAAATGAGTAATGGATCAGTAGCTAAAACGAGTAATGGATCAGTAGCTAAAATGAGTAATGGATCAGTAGCTAAAATGAGTAATGGAGCAGTAGCTAAAACAAGTAATGCAACAGTAGATTAAAAAAAGAAATGTATCAAGGTAAAAAATAACTGGATCAGTAACTAAAATAAGTAATAGATCTGTAGCTAATATAAGAATCAGTAGATAAAATGAGTAAGATATCCAGGAAAAATAAGAATTGGATCATTAGCTAAAATAAGTAATAGATCAGTAGCTAAAAAAAAATTAATGTATCCAGGAAAAATAAGAATTTGATTACTAGCTAAAATGAGTAATGGATCAGTAGCTAAAACAAGTAATGCAACAGCAGATAAAATAATGGATGCCTGGCTGAAACAACGCATCAGTAACCGTCCTCCTCCTCCTCTTCTCCTTTGTGTGCACCAGTGGTTAAAAAAAAACACACACCCCTACTTTGTAGATTTTTACAACATGCTTGTTAGAGGGGCAGGGGATCTATTCTCTCCCCCCCACCCCCGAAATGAGGCCCCAGAATCCATACAGGGACATGGGTAGCAAAATAAGTAGGTAAACAAAAAGATAGGAAGCTACTACAACTAATGTATAATTAATATGAGGAACAGATCAACAGATAAAACAATTAACAGAATTAATACTACTTACAGATCAAGGAAACAAAAGTCATGTACATTTGGGGAAATACTCATAAATATCAGGATATGACATTGGAGGCATGTAAGCATTGTATGGACAAATATAACAAAAAATATAAATGAGCGTCTAAAAATAAACCTAACACTATGGCTAACCAAGCAGATGAGACAGCATTAGAGAAGCAGGGGAGATACATTTATTTCAGCTTATGTGTAAGCAGAGTGTTGGTTCTTCGCCTTTCAGGCAGATGCATTCCTTCAGAAAATGAATGGGAAATGAGTAGGATCATGTAAGACAGAAGGATAAGGAGACATCATGACCAACTCCAAACAACAATGAGAAGAAACAGTTCTTACTGTGAAGCAGCCTTCGAAAGGCCTCCAGCTGGTGCAGTCTTAGGTCGTTGTTGAGGCTGAGGCTGAGGCTGCAGTGCTTCTTTGGGTTTCATTTCTTTGTTCTTTATAGCCCGCTTTATTCTCTCATCTAGTAAGCTTTGGTCTTTATCATTCAGCTGAAATAGATTGCAATAGTAGTAAGCAATGAATGTGTATGTACTAACAGACCTATTAACAATGCATTTGTATGTACTAGCACATCCACTCATAATGCACTTGTATTTACCAGCACACCCACTAACAATGCATTTGTATGTACCAGCACACCCACTCATAATGCACTTGTATTTACTAGCACACCCACTCATAATGCACTTGTATTTACTAGCACTCCCACTCATAATGCACTTGTATGTACTAGCACACCCACTCATAATGCACTTGTATGTACTAGCACACCCACTCACTGTGCACTTGTATGTACAAGCACACCCACTCACAATGCATTTGTGTGTACCAGCACACCCGCTAACAGTGCACTTGCATGTACCAGCACATCCACTCATAATGCACTTGTATGAGCCAGCACACCCACTCACAATACACTTGTACATACCCAGCACACCCACTCACAATACACTTGTACATACCCAGCACACCCACTCACAATACACTTGTACATACCCAGCACACCCACTCATAATGTACTTGTACATACCCAGCACACCCACTCACAATACACTTGTACATACCCAGCACACCCACTCACAATACACTTGTACATACCCAGCACACCCACTCACAATGCATTTGTACATACCCAGCACACCCACTCACAATGCACTTGTACATACCCAGCACACCCACTCACAATGCACTTGTACATACTTGTACCCAGCACCCACTCACAATGACAACCACTCACAATGCACTTGTACATACCCAGCACACCCACTCACAATGCACTTGTACATACCCAGCACACCCACTCATAATGCACTTGTACATACCCAGCACACCCACTCATAATGCACTTGTATGTACCAGCACACCCACTCATAATGCCCTTGTATGTACCCAGCACATCCACTCATAATGCCCTTGTATGTACCAGCACACCCACTCACAATGCCCTTGTATGTACCAGCACACCCACTCACAATGCCCTTGTATGTACCCAGCACACCCACTCACAATGCACTTGTACATACCCAGCACACCCACTCACAATGCCCTTGTATGTACCCAGCACACCCACTCACAATGCACTTGTACATACCCAGCACACCCACTCACAATGCACTTGTACATACACAGAACACCCACTCACAATGCCCTTGTATGTACCAGCACACCCACTCACAATGCCCTTGTATGTACCCAGCACACCCACTCACAATGCCCTTGTATGTACCCAGCACACCCACTCATAATGCACTTGTACGTACCCAGCACACCCACTCATAATGCACTTGTACATACCCAGCACACCCACTCATAATGCCCTTGTATGTACCAGCACACCCACTTACATTGCACTTATAGCACCAGCACACCCACTCATAATGCACTTGTATGTACCAGCACACCTGCTTACATTGCACTTATAGCACCAGCACACCCACTCATAATGCACTTGTATGTACCAGCACACCCGCTTACAATGCACCTGCATACACTACACCTACATACTCACAGTGCCAACATATTTGTAGACACTCTCCCCAAGGATGGAGTAAGCCACCACGAGTGTGTTCAAGGCAGCATTCCTGACACCATTATCTCTGTCACCGATCTGGCCTGCGATGATCTTGAGAGCATGAGCAGGGGAAGGCTGGCAAACATTCATGCCATAGCTCTCAATCAGACATCCCAGTTCCTCCAGCAATTCTGTAACAGTATTCAATATCTGCACATGTAGGTCTCCCACTGATAGGATCATTCGGAATACAATTGTAAATCTACAGACAGGACTCCATCATCATCATCATCGTCATCATCATCATCATCATCATCGATATGCATGTGGCTATCTTCTTCTTCTTAGCATTCCCCGGCTGTAAACTTTTGCAGAAAGTTCTGGTTGTTCATGCATTTCTGGACTTTGGTCTTGTCCAGAACATGAACTCTGCAAGCACATCTGTTTTACAGATCTGGCTAATCTGTATGCAGACTGTTGGTTCCTTCCCTCTCAGACAGATGCACTCAGACTTTGTCGGAAACACCCCTATTTAGTCCCCTCATACGACATACGTGTTAGGCAACAGTGAGTTTATTCTTTGTTCTCCAAAATGGAGCCTCCGAACCAGCATGGAGAAACTATGGGCATTTTCTTCTTCGTTGTGTTCACCAGCTGTAAACTCTGGCGGAAAGTTCTGGTTGTTTATCCACTGCTGGACTGCAGTCCTGTTCCAGAACCTGAGTGTTGCGTGTGCATCCGTTTTACAGATCTGACTCATTTGTATGCAGACTGCTGGTTCCTTGCCTCTCAGGCAGATGCACTCCGAGTTTGAAGGAAGCTCCCAATTAGTCGACTCTTACGACATGCTTTTGGGTAGGCAGTGGGTCTATTCTTGTTTTCCCTATAATAGGGCCCCGGAACCCACAGTGGAGACTATGGGTATGATATGACCACACTCCAGCATTTGTAAATACTTTTATTTGTTGCTGATAATGTTTTTTATTACTTATTAACTCATTCAGTACCATGTGGCACACTGTGCATCCATTGGTTACTCCACCTGACTGTAATGTTTTCTAAATATTCATTCCTTTAGAATTGTTGAAAAGATTCATTTGTAAATCTTGTAAGGACTTTTAACTTCACAATTTCTTCTGCATTTTTTCTTCATGTTAACCTATTATGTTTCTTGCATTAGATTTCTATAAATTACTGAATTAACAGGTGAATTAACAGGTGTGTGGGACAGAAAGAATTGAAAGATTTATAAAAGAGTAAGGTATATCACTATATCAGACAGGCCTGCATGCCCAAATCAACCACTTGAAAATAAAGTATGTTCACTGATGATATCAAAGTTAAACAATGATGATTTCAAAGTTAAACAATGATGATTTCAAAGTTAAGCGATGATGATATCAAAGTTAAACAATGATGATATCAAAGTCAAACAATGATGATATCAAAGTTAAACAATATTGATATCAAAGTTAAACAATGGTGATATCAAAGTTAAACAATGGTGATATCAAAGTTAAACAATGGTGATATAAAAAGTTAAACAATGGTGATATCAAAATTAAACAACGATGAGATCAAAGTTACACAATGAGGATATCGAAGTAAAAAATGATATCAAAGTTAAACAATGATGATATCAAAAGTTGAACAATGATATTAAAGTTACACAATGATGATATCAGAGTGAAACAATGATGATATTGAGTTTAACACATAATATCAGTGTTAAAGGCTGAAGCTACCAGAGTTAAACAATGATGATATCAAAGTTAAACAATGATGACATCCAAGTTAAACAGTGATATCAAAGTTAAACAATGATGATATCAAAGTCAAACAATGATTTCTAAGTTAAACAATAAAGACATTTGATGATATCAAAGCTAAACAATGACATCAAAGTTAAACAATGAGTATATTGAAGTCAAAAAATGAAGATATCAGAGTAAACAAAATCCAGCCTACCTGCTCTCTGTTTGGCAACTTTGCACTTCAGACCATCAATAACGAAACTAAACATTTTGTTGGAGGGGTACACCTTGCACATCTGCTTCATGATGTTCCGCACATCTCTCCTCACATTGTCCTTTGGATCTCCACTCTGTCAACAAATTGAAGTCTTACAATTAATGTTACATGCTCACCTGCGGGTCAAAAGTGTTTGGTTCAAATAAGCACTGGGCGGAATTTTAAAATTTTTTAAATGACAGCGACTTCCAGGTTTACCTAGCCTTAAAATGGGTACTGGGAAACATCCCAGAAAGTAAAATGCAGTCTGCATGATGTTGAAGGCTGCATCATTTGCAAGGTGCACGACTGGCATGAAAAAGATCCTTTGCTTACTCACAACTTTTAATGCCGGGGTACCCTGTTCGATCCCAGGTGTGGGCCATGCGCCTTGCATTGGTTTTGACAATGGTATCAGGGGGCCGGCCGTCCAGAAAGCAATGGCAAACTACAGGACGTAAATTTGCCTAGAGAAACCACACAACAGCCAGGGACTGCTGGGGTTGGTTCTGCAACGTCCTGTAAAGGATACGCAACTAACCTTATATTTATACAATAGAATACAGAGGCACTGTACAAGTTTATTTTTATTTTAACATAAAGAGTCAGTGTATTTGGTCTTCTACTTCTGTATTTTATCTGCTTATACAGCATAGGGTCTCTACCAATTCACTCTAAGCTCGTTTTCTCCTCATGACATGACCAAACAACATAGATTTTCTCCTCCTGATGTGAGTAATAATTCCTCTTATTGGTTTAATTTCCTTTAAGACATCTTTATTACCCTTTTTTTTATCTTCCACGGTGTTCTCGTCATGCTGATATTATTAATGCCCTCAGAGAAATGGGAAAGATAGAGGACTTTGGTGGCAGTGAATCCACATCACTCGCCAGAATGGCAGACTTGGGAATTAAGATCGGCACAGCAAAAAACGAGATGCACACCAGACACGCCAGAAAACTTGTTAATCAACATAGAACTGGTACTATTAGCCATCGGACGTTGGGGCTCATACTGAGGGGAGGATCTGAGCACCTATGGACATGTCCAGAGTGCAATGATGATAACCCAAACTAACTAACTAACTAACTATCTCATCCATTGTCTTTAGAACCATGTCTCTGCCGTTCCCCCATTATTTTTAACTAATCGACTTACTGTCCGTGATGTTTTCTTAGACATTATTATTTTTTTGTAAATGTTCTGGGACTAACCTTCTCCTTGTGTGGGTTCCAAGGTGAGGCCTCATTCTGGGAAGAACAAGAATAGACCCACTGCCTCCCCAAAAAGCATGTTGCAAGAGTCGACTAATTGGGAACTTTCTTTGAAGTCAGAGTGCATCTGACAGAGCAGCAAGGAAAAAACAACCGTACACAAATAAGCCAGTAAAACAGATGCATATGCAAAACTCAAGCCCTGGCCAAAGGTCAAAGTCCAAGTCGACGAGAGCAACCAGGATTTTATGTCGGAGCTTGGAGCCGACAAACAATGGAGAAGGAGGAGGAGGACTAACCTTCATAAGCAGATAAGGGACGAAAGAGCCGGCCTCCAGGTCTGACAGATGATAGTCCAAGGATGCTAACAAGGAGAAGAGCTGCTGAATGTAGTCCAGAGCCTTGTTCAACATGCTGGGGTTGGTGTCGAAGAATCGAATGGTCATCCATTTCAGCAGAAGGTCAAGGTTGTTGAGCGTTTCTCTCTCTTGAGTCTCCAAGCACTATTTACAGAAATAGTAGAATATATCAAATTTGTTAAATACATTAAGTGAATATGTGTGTGTGTACATGTGAGTGAACAGACCAAAAAACTTTAGATTTTAGGGTCACAAATTCGGCACGCAGGCCTGCCTTGCATTCAGTCCTTCCAAAAATTCATCTTTCTCATAGCAATTGTATTTTATTTATAAAACGTGTTTTGTTCATATAACAAACAAATAATGTAAATTTCAAGTAAAAGTATAAAAGTATGGATGGTAAATGCATATATTTAAAAAAAAAACATAAGTGAACAAGTTAGTAAGTGAGTGAGTGAGGAAGGAGAGGGAGAGAAATAAGACATTAGATTACCTTTATCAGACTTATCTCTGACCTATAATCTCTAAATTAGGCAACGAGAGCAAAACTATGTTGGTAGTGCCCATTTCCCAAGGTACAGTAACTCTAAACACAAAATGGCCAATCAAAAAACATCACCATCAGCAATAAATGTACCATACCTTAATCAGCTGCTCTATAGCCTTGATGTGATTCTTGAAGTCTGCGTGGAACAAGTCTACCATGATTGCTCGGTTGAAATTCTTCTCCATTTGCCCCTTCAGCTGATCAATAAATTCCCCTCGCAGCTCAATGAAGTTCCATTTCAGAACCTAGAAACAGAATAACTTATAAATGACACCTGGTTACCCGAAGCAATGCTATGTCACTCTAGATATGCCCACCTGTTCTTCTCTTTTGCATTTAACCTGAAAAAAAGCAGTTGTCACATTCTTCTTCTTCTTCTTTCGTTCGCCTGAAATAAGTTGTCTATATCAGCAGTTTTGTCTCTTGTATAAATTTCACTGTCGTTAGTTCATTCAGTGGTCCATAGAGTATACGTTCCACTGTTGTTTTTTCTGGCCAAAAGGTTTGCCTTATTGTGTCAAATTCGGTGCAGTCCTTGAGTACATGCTCTGCTGTCTGGGGCACCTTTCCACAGGTGCACATGGCTGATACACCTATCTTGAATTTTGTGTACATGTGGTTACATAATCCGTTGTGCCCTGTTCTGAGGCGGAGGATAATGATTTGTTCTGGTCGGTCCATAATGGTTGTCACATTATTTTGTGGTTTACAGCTAGTTCACGGTATATACACCTTTCAGCCCAAAACATTTTATTTTAGCACACTCCTAATTACGACATGCTTGTTGGGGTGGGGGAGGAGGAGGGGGAGGAGAGACAATAAGTCTTTTCTTCACCCCCCTTCCCTCCCAAAATGGGACTCTGCAACCCACACAGGGATGTCCATTTGTGAGTGCTCAGTATCCTTCAGCAGACATCACTCCATATCAAGGTTAACTACTTGTCCCCTACTTGGATGTATGCACATCTGATTTTACTAAATGAACATCTGCAGCATTTGATCCATTGTTCCTGTGATCTCAGCATTGTCTTCTCAATGCATACTGTATCCTCAACATCAGTCAACACGTTCTTCTTAGAACGTCAGTCTCGTCACTGCACACCTGAAAATCTCTCTTTCTCTAGCCAATTCTCCAGCCCCATGTGCTTTCACTGACAGTGTATCTGTCTTGTATCCACTTTCATGGAGGTCTGCCTCTGCTTTTTTGTCTGAAACTACCCTCCGTCATTGTCTTTTCCAGACCACAATGACATTTAACATGGCCCAAATACCTCAGCTTTCAGATAGGTTGCTCAGATCATGTAGGATGTTGATGTATATAAGTTCTTCAAAATACTAAAGTGAAACCTAGCATTTGATTCAGGTTACTTCCAAGGAATATCATGCACAAGGTTGTCAACTAATTTTTTTTAAATTAAGAATAACATCATCATCACATGCCCCACCAAAAGGCGTAGGCACTAAAGTCTCTTCACAGATCTTGGTCCTTCATATTCTGAATCAATTCTACTGATGATATTCCTCCATGCCATCAAGCATCATTTCGTCTGCCTCTGCTACCGTTTTTTTTCCCAGTCATTATTATGCTCTTCAATGCTTCTCTTCTTGTGACATGATTGAAGAACACTGACAGCCCCTTTCTCACAGCCCTATATTTAGTTTTCTAATTCCATTAGCCATTTCTAGTCCGTTGCTTGTTAGTTCTTCTGTCTGTCCAAGGTATCTGTAGCTTGAGTCTCAGAAACCACCTCTATGTGGCCTCCAAGTTCTTCTTTGTTCGTTCACATTACATGATTCACAGCCACACAGTAGCCTTGCTTCAACATAACATTTCAGCACTCTTTTTTTCTTTAAAAAAAAAAATGACTTGGCTCCCAGGTCGACCCAGCCTTGAGTGGGTACCGGGTGCAGTCCCGGGAAAGTAAATGCCGCCGGGGTGATGCTGACCACATCACCCATCTTGTGCCGATTGGTCTATAAAAATATAGGTCTAGCCCTATATGCCCTATACGCCTGATGGCGTGGAAAAGGGTCCTTTACTTTTTACTTAATTTTACTCTTTTTCTTATGTTTAATGAGAGAAAGCTGTTGCATAAAATTTTTTCATCTTTTGACAAACATTATATGCTAGGTCACTGCAGAAAAGCAACAAAAACAAGATATTTATGAGGTATAATATATGAACTTGAATTGGTTGTTTCTCCTTGTTGGCACCTTTCCATCCTTTCTGATGGTGGTGTTAAAGTGGGCTATAGGGGCCACAGGAATCAGTCCGTGATGATAACAGCACAAAGCCTGGGCAGTATTGCAAAGACAAAATGTTGTCCATGTTTCATGATCCCTCTCTTTGCCTGTCTTACTTACTCCAGAGGAAAGGGAACATCAATATCTCTGGGAAAAAAGCAGTCTGCAGAACATGTGGTGAGAATGGATTCGATTGCAAAGACTTCCACTTCAAGGAACATTTGACCCGTATTTGGAGAAGAGGGAGGCAAAGAAGAACCTGGAATGATAACATCAAGAAACGGACAAGACTAAGTTATTATACACTGGTTCAACAAACGGAGGACGGAGAAAGATGGCAGATTTTGTGCACTAGTGCTTCCAAGGATACACCTCCATGACCCTAGCAGGTCAAAGGTTATGTTATGCCGCAGAAGCTGCCAGATCAGAACAGCAGTGCTCTATCCATCTGTCGGAGCTTCCTTCCTAGACCAGCTGCCAATGAAGGCTAAGAGCCTTGTCTGCCCTTGCACTAATATTAAATTTTCAGACAGAATTTCCTTGTCCTAGGATAAGGCTAATATGCTTCCAAATGCACTTCTCAAAGACCTGACTGGCTGTCGTGTCTTTATAGGATCTGAATATACCTTTTCATAAGATTTTATTAGGTTAGCTTTTGTTTGCTTGTTTGTCTGGTACAATGCATGCATTACATTTTTCTACTATTTCCTTATAATTAATCTACACATATCATTAGTCATTCTGCTAGTTTGTGTATTTCACAATGCTTTAGCTAGTTATATATATTTATCCAATCCAATGCACCCATAAAAGTGCCAGCAAAGTGATGAACTATCTACACATACCTTCATAGCTTTCTCTTCTTTAACTCTCTGATCCTTAGTAACAGACATGTTCATGATTGGTCCAAAGTCCTCATCATCCTTCTTCTTGGTCGCTGCAGGAGCAGGCTGTATTTAAGTTAAAAAAAAAAAAAACACTAACTGTACAACATGTTTTAGGTAACACTGAGCTAAATGAAAAATAGAAATAATGATTAGCATGTTTTTGAGGTAAGTTGTTTGAACTTAGCTCAAAATGTCCCAGCTTTGAATCCCACTGTGTGCTATTTTTATAAAAATGGAAATATTCTGGCCACATTAGAAGACATAACTCTTTAAAAAAACCATACTAATGGGAACATTTGGAGGTAAAATATAGCAAGAGGTGGACACATATAGTAGTTTCCTGTTTATCTGGAGACTTAACACTGGCATACAAAGGGATCTGACAAACCACCTCTTTTGGTGGTAACCATGCATTTCTCGATGCTTCCAAAGATGATATGGCTTTCTTGCTGTCTTCTGTAACTATAGGTGTTACAATAACTCTTTTTATATAAATTATTAGTTTAACTACTATGGTCTTGTTGGTGTTTGTGGCTTAAGCTCTGTGAATGAGCTTCACAATTCTGAAGTGCCAGGTTCAATTCCAGCTGCAGGCAAGTAGGCAGCAGACTGCTTTCGGTTGATTTCGACAATGGTATCGATAATTGACTGTTCAGGGAGCAATGGCAAACTAGTGAACATAAAACTGTCTAGTAAAACCAAACAGCCAAAAAATCCTGTAGTTGGTTCTGCAACATCCTGTAAGGGAAGCAACTTTATCAACTGTCTCATAATGTCCCTCTGCTCAACTCATTCAGATATATATATATTCCCTGCTTTCAAGCTCAACTCCTTAAGACATATGGAGTTCAAAGATAACAAGTGCTTATTATTATTACTGAAGGAGTTAAACCTCTGAAACAATCTTGAACATCCAATTAGATGACATATCAGGTTCTCATACCCTGTTCATTATCATCATCATAAACCATTAGGTTTTTTACAGAGTATTGGTCTGCTCATGGCAGGCCTGAAAGACTCTCTTTCTCAAGCCCTATGTACTTTTACAGCTAATGCATCCTTAATGTCTTTTACCCATTTTCACAGAGGTCGGCCTCTGCTTCATCTTACCAAAACTCTATCCTCCATTACCGTTTTCTCCAGGCCACCAAGACACTTAGTACAGCTAAAGAATCTCAGCTTTCAGGAAAGAATGCTGTTTATGAGCCAATTCTCTACGAAGCTCAGATCAGTGTTGTTCTTCTTCTTGGTCAATGCTATTCTAAGAATTTAGAGACTGAGCAACAGTCCAAGACTCACATCCAGATATTGCCATGGGAAAGATGCAGATCTCAAAATGTGTTATGTAACTCGCTTACACATGCTGTTCATGCCCTCTTCACAAAGTTTAAAAATGAAGAACTAACTGAAACAATCTCTAACAGATGATTTAAGATAACAATACCTTTCCCTTCCCTTTGACAACTTTAGATTTGCTATCTGACTTAGCCGCTGATCTCTCTGGAGCTGGCTCGTCATCCTCGGGCTCCTCAGTTCTGGATGCGACTGGTGCTGATTTGGGGACCACCTTCTTGCTGCTGGCTGCAGGTGCTGCTGAAGGAGCTGAGGTGGCTTTCTGGACTTTGGCTGGTTTAGCTGGGAGTTCACTTCTGGCTTTCTCTAGCACAGGCTGAATCTGATCTTTGGTGGCTGGCTGCAAGTGACAAGATTATAAGTTACAAATGGATATTATAATTAGTACACAGATGTCTCCTTTCCAGCAAAACAGCAAATGATTAACAGCATCTTCATCCTTACTTTATGCTATCAGTGCCAAACATGGACAATGAATTGGGCACTATAATAAAAGAAAATAACTATCTGTGAAATGTGCTGTCTCTGTAAGGTCCCTAACAACACAAGAAGGGAAACGGTTAGGAATATGACAATATTTAACATCGGCCAGCCATTCAACTAGTCTAAATCACCAATATATTAACTGATTCAGCCTTTTATGTTCAACTTGTATCCCTGCGTCTCATCCAGTTATTAGCCAACTCTCCCTGTGGGAGGTTCTAGGACCCCATTGTGGGAAAAACAAGAATAGACCTACTCCGTACCTAAAAGCAGGTCATAAGAGTCGACTGAGCTTCCTTTGAAAGTGCATCTGATTGAGAGGCAAGGAACCAGCAGTCTGTATAAAAATGAGTCAAATCTGTAAAATGGATGTGTACACAACACTCAGGTTCTGGAAAAGACCTACAGTCCAGAAGTAGACAAACAGCCAGAACTTTCCACCGGAGTTTACAGCTGGTGAATGGGAAAAATAAGAAGAAAAAGAAGAAGATGATGAACCAATTCTATCCCTTTGGCTACAATCACTGTTTTCTCTTCAGTGAGATTATTACTTGAAGCCCTTATAACACAACGGTTTTTAGTTTAAATTAGCAATAGTTACAGGGAAAAAATAACTATGCTGAAAAATGTAACGATGCACAACTATACAATGAAAGAAATATCATGCTAAAAAAATGCATAAAAATTAATAGTTTTCTTGATATCCTCATACAACACATATAGAGGCTACTTGCAACTTTAATTTTTTTTTTCAATCACTGCCAGTGAGACATCTCATACAGGATTAAACTTCAGACATTTATCATAGGTCGCCTGCGGATCGGAAGGTCACAGGTTCAGGTCCCGACAGTCTGACTTTTTTCAAAATTAACCTTGACTCTCAGGCGAACCCCGCATTTAGTGGGTACCAGGTATAGTCCTGGGAAACAAAGGCGGCGAGCATGATGCTGACCACATCACCCACCCAGTGTCAATTGGTCTAAAAAATATAGGTCGAGCCCTATATGCCCAACATGCCCAGAGCATTGAAAAGAGTCCTTTACTTACTTTACCCATGGTAGGTTAATGGATTTACTACTGTTCTAACATCGAGATACTCTAATTAACAACATAGAATGGATAAAAAGACAAGACTCACTTTACACTTTCCTAGTTCTTTGAGAAAGGCATCATATCCAGTGTGGATCATCAGAGGTACCAGAGCATCAGTGGCACGCTTGCGGACATCAGCATTCCTATCCTCTAAGCATGCCAGCACGGAAGGTATGACACTCCTCAGCTCAGGAGGCAGCTGCTTGTGCGGGGGCAAGATCACAGCCAACCATCCAAGCAACTAGGGAGGGAAAACATATCCGCAAACAATGAAATACCTTGTGTTTATAATGATCCTTGTCGTATATTATTGATTTCCTCATCCAAGAATGAGGCCTGCATCCTCCCATATGTGCTCCTCTAACCGAAAGCTGCTGGGTAAGTAGGATGTCAGGTTTGGTATACCAACATCAGACGTTACAAAGAAACCAGGTAGTACCCGACTACTGTTGTACGGTAGGTCAGTTATATCTGAGAAGAAACAGACTAAACACAGATTGACAACAGTAGTCCTGAAATCCCATGCTATAATTGTGAAAGACGTTGTCTTAACACGGGCGGGTCTTGCTAGTCACTTGCCATTGCCAATGGCTGTGAGTCCCAGGACTCCTCAAAGCACAATATAACACTATTGTCTGGAAAGACGGAAAAGTGCCAATCAAATCAATCGCTCAATATATCTAACCAAGATCTGACTCTGAATGATTTTTGTTGTATCTTCAAGTTTTGCTGACCAAGTTTTAAACTGTAAAACACCCAAACAACTGTGGGGAACATGTAAGCAAGCATTGTAAATATTGTTTTTTTTTAAATAATTTCTTGTGTATCCTAAAATTATGCTGAGCAACTTTAAAACTTAGCAAACCATTCTTCTTCTTCTTCACATTTTCTTTCCTTCTTTTGATTCATGCTCATTGGCTGTAAACTGCAGCAGACTGACTTTCTACCCCACCAGGACATCACACAAGCGATATACACCTGATGACACAATGTGCCACCATGTGGAGAGGTCCTAGAAACAGAGTTCAGCCTTTAGGCCATATTTATGACCAGGCTATATTGCGGCCCCTGGCAGGAGCCAGAGTAGGGCTTCAAATAATGAAAAATGTCATCCTAAAAATAAAGGAAAGTTATCAATGCAGCAGAAAGTTTTGGTTCACCTCTGGACTTTAGTCTTGTTCTAGAACACAAGTGCTGCATGCACATCTGTTTTACAGATCTGGCTTATTTCTGTGCAGACTGCTGGTTCCTTGCAGATACACTCTGACTTAAAGAGAAGCCCCCAATTAGTCGACTCTTACAACATGCTTAGTAGGGAGGAAGTGGGTCTATTCCCCACAAGGGGGCCCCTGAAAGCACATGCGCAACTTTTTCTCTGAAAGTTTTAGGTGTCTAGGGGAGATAACAATCAATAAAATCTACAGATTACAAAAGCTATTGGCAAGGTTTCTTGTATGGTGGTAAGACCTCGGACAACAGTAAAAACAACTGGGCTGATGAGGGAGGGTTTTAGAAAACAATGTTGAATACAATGGACTTTCATGCAGGAAACCCAGATTCAAATCTTAGGTAAGGGTGAGGATTTTTGTTCTGTCGATAGCACAAAAAAAGTTAAATCCTAACTTGTACGATCCGTGGCAACTGCAGAAGACTTCTGCCCTAAATCCCCAGCTCAAAGCCCCCCCCCCCCCCCCCCCCCCCCCGTTTGATATTACGGTTTTGATGAGCACATTTTAAATTTCACTAGCAAGTAAGAAAATCTATAGAATGTAATGCCTCTACCTCTCCCAGAGTGTACTAAATTGGAGGGGATGGGGGGAGGGGGTTAAATTCTGAAACTAGATACAGTGTACAATTAGTTATCACAAAGGAAAGAACACTCACCTCAGCTTTAAGAAAGGGGCTCTCCATCTTCAGGGCATCAAATAGGGCCTCACTCTCAACCAATGGCAAAAGTGATGAATGTTGCAGCCAGACGTTCAGACAAGCTATGACCTTCTCTCTCAGGGCAGGCTGGTTTAATCATCAATATTTCAGTTATATTACAAATAAATAATGTTTTTTGAAGAAGAAAAAAGTTACAATTTTTTTTAATCAGGAAAATATGAAGATGAAACTAATTTCTCATGGGTAGATGATTATGAGCGTGTGGATACACTTCTGTTATTTACCAAAATTTCACAAATTATGATACTGATATAACCAGCTGGTCTACATATTGTGATCTGAAAGGGCTGAATTTAAAACAAAAAGTTCTGGTTGTTTGTCCACTTCTGGATTTTAGTCTTGTTCCAGAACTTGATTTTTGTGTGCATATCCATTTTACATTTCTGGCTTATGTGTATGCAGACTGTTGGTTTCTTTCTTACAGGCAGATGCACTATGACTTTGAATGAAACCCCTAATTAGTTGATTGTTATGACATGAGCAGTCAGTGGCCTATTCTCCCCCCCCCCCCTCCCCACACACACACACACAATGGGGCCAGGAGTCCACAAAGCGATACTTGCTGATGACTGAAAATGTATTTCCAGTTAAAAATACAAACAGGTGCATGAATATCTAAGGTATAGAAACTGACCTAGAAAACCACTTTTAAAGGAAACATGACACCCATCATAATGATCTTTAAAGAACATATGTAATAACACTGCCTGTACTGACAATCAGGTTCTGTTCAATCATGACAAATATTAACCTAACATCAGATCGTCACTACTCTTGAGTTTCAAGCAACATGGTTCATCACCCCTGATTGTTTTTTATGTAAAAATATTAACCTGAAAAAAATGTTTAAATCTGTAGCTACATTCTTTAAATACCACACTCCTCGTCATCATCTTTTTCCTCCTCTTCCCATCATCATCACCATCATGTAATACCACTAGACTTCACTCCTCATTATCATCTTTTTCCTCCTCTTCCCATCATCATCATCATCATCATCATCATGTAATACCACCAGACTTCACTCCTCATTATCATCTTTTTCCTCCTCTTCCCATCATCATCATCATCACCATCATGTAATACCACCAGACTTCATTCCTCATCATCATCTTTTTCCTCCTCTTCCCATCATCATCATCATCACCATCATGTAATACCACCAGACTTCACTCCTCATTATCATCTTTTTCCTCCTCTTCCCATCATCATCATCATCACCATGATGTAATACCACCAGACTTCACTTCTCATTATCATTTTTTTCCTTCTCTTCCCATCATCATCACCATCATGTAATACCACCAGACTTCATTCCTCATTATCATCTTTTTCCTCCTCTTCCCATCATCATCATCACCATCATGTAATACCACCAGACTTCACTCCTCATTATCATCTTTTTCCTCCTCTTCCCATCATCATCATCACCATCATGTAATACCACTAGACTTCACTCCTCATTATCTTCTTTTTCCTCCTCTTCCCATTATCATCATCATCATCGTGTAATACCACCAGACTTCACAAAGGACTGGGTCTATTCCTCCATTTCCTTCTTTCCTGGGTACTCTTTCCAATATCATGGATAGAATCCGGTGCAGTAACCTTAGCCTCTCTCAACAATGTTTGTTGAGGTTTCTCTCAAACATCCTCGTTTTCTCAATCCATTTGTTTCTCATTTCAGTGCCTGCTGGTGATTGCCTGTCCCAATATACTGCCATCTTCTGTGTCTAACAAATGGCAATGCATTCTTAAAGTATTGCAGCACAAAAAAATGTTTACCTTTGAGTCGGCCAAACACATCAGCAAGCCTGGTCCTATAACCCTGAAATGTCCTTTACAATGGGGCCCTAGAGATGTGGCCAGAGTCGAACAGATTCCTATGGTTATCATTTGCTGAAAAGTAATTTCAAAACTTGATCATATTTCTGCATGATTGAATACAATAAATTATATATTTTAAAAGCTGACTGAATGTCTTCTTCATTGCATTCCCTGACTATAAAATATGGCAGAAAGTTGTTCATATACTGCTGGACTTAGCCTTGTTCCAAAACTTTAGTCATGCGTGCACATCCATTGTACAGAGCTGGTTTACTTGTCCTTCACCTCTGCCAGAAGCAATCTGGGTCGGAAGGGAAATTATACTGGATTCCCTTGTTCAAGAATTTTCCCATTTACACTGCATTATATGTTGTCCCCATTTACATAGATTTACACTGCTGTGTATCTTGTTCTTATTTACACAGATTTTACACTGCAGTGTATGTTGTCCCCATTTACATAGATTTACACTGCTGTGTATCTTGTTCTTATTTACACAGATTTTACACTGCAGTGTATGTTGTCCCCATTTACATAGATTTACACTGCTGTGTATCTTGTTCTTATTTACACAGATTTTACACTGCAGTGTATCTTGTTCCCATTTACATAGATTTACACTGCAGTGTATCTTGTTCTTATTTACACAGATTTTACACTGCAGTGTATGTTGTCCCCATTTACATGGATTTATACTGCAGTGTATCTTGTTTGTATTTACAAAGATTTTACACTGCGTTATATCTTGTCACAATTTACATGGATTTACACTGCTGTGTATCTTGCTCTTATTTACAAAGATTTTACACTGTAGTGTATCTTTTCCCCATTTACATAGATTTACATTGTGGTGTATCTGGTCCCCATTTACATAGATTTACATTGTGGTGTATCTGGTCCCCATTTACATAGATTTACACTGTAGTGTATCTTTTCCCCATTTACATAGATTTACATTGTGGTGTATCTGGTCCCCATTTACATAGATTTACACTGTGGTGTATCTTGTCACAATTTACATAGATTTACATTGTGGTGTATCTTCGCTTTTTTCTCTTAAATTTTAATCTTTACACATTTACATAAGAGATTATACTTGTGTGGTGTTTCTTTCTTCTTGAGGATGGTCATAGTCATTGATTTTTCTTTCGCTTTTTTCTCTTAAATTTTAATCTTGTCAGTCAGCTCATTTATTAGATCATCTGTTATTTTATCACTTGAAGAAGACAAGAAAGTATTAAATATGTGATGAGTGCACAGAGTAGCTGGTTACAATTCTGTACAGTTAAGACTTTAGTGGTTAACTATACACACACAGAGAAATAACAGGTGTCCCATAAGTTTCCATACACAGGCAACATAAATGTACTAGGTCAATGGTTGCTTGTAATGGGAAGTCACTACATAGGACAACACTGACCTATCCAAGCATCTGGACTCCGCTGATCTAACCACTGACACACCTTTAGGTGCTTTCTTAATATCCTACCCCAAACAGGAAATCCACAGGTCTAATATTTCAGGGGGTGGTAGATAGACTGCATGCAGTCTTGGGACCTAGGCTACATGCAGTCGTGGGACCTAGGCTGCACTCTCTTGTGGGATGTAGGTGGGTTGGGGTTAGGGCCAGTTCTACAAATTCTGGGCTTACCCCCTTTGAAATGTTGGACTGTCCTGTGATGTCATTTGGGGTAAGATATTACCAAAGAACCCACGTTAATTTTTCCTATGTATGGAAACTTATGGGATATCCAGTAAAACTGAGCTCTCATATAACAGTAGTCGCTACCAGCTCTGCTCTGTTAATTCTAAATGTTGGATGGCGTATACCAGGGCTATTCAACTAAGTCCTCAGGGGCCAAAATGTTGGAAATGGGGATCGAGCCCCAGCATAGAAAGATCATTAATACAACACATCTCTGCAGGTTAGTTGAATATAAGGGGAAGGGGGGTGGGTTTAGTGTTAGTCGGTGTTTATTTCACACCCTAACACTATTGGACTTTCCCAGAAACTCTGAACGAAATCTCAGAGTCCCCGAAGAAACTGAAAATTTATTTGGATGTATCACTGGTTGAAAGAATGAGTTGTTCTGTAACAGATCTACAAAAAAACTAACAAATAAATAAGTTTTTTTTTTTCAAAGGATCACAAACTGAGCATGTCACATTATATGACACACGGGCAGCCTTGTCAAGGTGGAAGAAACAAAATATAAACCATAAACAGCAATAAATGAAGAGAAAATTGGTAATGAAAAATATTTTCAGAATCTACATCTTAGCAGAGATCAAAGTTTTATGAACAAATTAATTGGTCTAGAAATTCAATAAAAAAGAACTATGAGGAAAACTACTAAATTGCCATCACACTGTAGCACCGTGGCTTAGGGGTTGCGAGTCAGACTCATAATTCCAAGTACGGCAATCGAAACCCACTGCTAGCTGCGTGAATTTTTATCATGGTATGGGGCGTGGCGGGTCAACCTAGCCTAAAATGGGTACCAGGATGTATGTCCTGGGGAAGTAAAGACGGCCGGCGTAATGCTGACCACATTACCCACCTAGTGCTGATTGGTCTGTAAAAATATGGATGCTCTTCCCATATGCCCAATACGCCTAAAAGGTGTGAAAAGAGATCTTGACTTGACTTGACTTAGTTGCTAAACTGGATTGGACTAAAACATTTGTTTAGTAACAGAAAACACTGGTAGGACTAGAACATTTCTGAGTAATAAGAAAACAATTTATTACTAGCAATCTTTAAAAGCTCACCTAATATCAGTTCTTGGTAATAGATCTTGTACAGCAGACTCTCCACCTCCATCCCCATCTTCTTCACCACCTTCGTTCTCCTCCTCTGCAGCATCTTCATCGCCATATCCACTCTTGACTTTCCTGATGGGCGCTGGTGGTTTTACATCCTTCATCTAAAGCAAAGTTAAATATGTTAGCCAAAAGCTGCCACTGTCATTGCTGCCTGTAACTACTATTTTTGCGGTGCAGGCAGGGGGTTCTTTAAGACTGCATGGCTAGTGCTCTCCATGCGCACGTTAGGATTTGAACCTTCTCCTGCATCAGAGCCTTGTGTTCTTTTCCGCTTTGCCAGCCGCTCCTCAAAATATGTTAGCACCCAACACAAATTACATTTAAAACAAATTAATATAAGACACACATCCATGTGTGTGCAGGCCCACACATTTATTTATAGAGGAAGTAATGAAATGTTTCATCAGCATATTGAGGTTAGTTGCGTATCTTTTACCGGACGTTGCAGAACCAACCCCAACAGACCCTGGCTGTTGTGTGGTTTTTCTAGGCAAATTTACGTCCAGTAGTTTGCCATTCATCAGCATATAGCAGGTCCTATACAGAACGTCGCTCCCATGCCTAAAAGAAACTTGGTCCCTAGCTACCTCATTCATTTTCCTGCCCTACGTGTGTCATGTCCTGTGCCCATCTTCGTGCTGGTCTGCCTCTGCCCCCCCTTACCTGGTACCCCATGTCTTCCCTTACTGTTCTTTCCAATGCATTGTGACGTTTGATATGGCTAAAGTTCTTGAGTTTCTGAGATAAGATGCTGTTTACAAGTAAATTTTTCTTGATGTTCAGACCTTTAAGAACGTCACTACTTTTTTTAAGCAATAAATGTTTTGCACAAGCGTATATGACATTCAGGAAACATTTGGTTCCAATTATTTAGCTATTCAAATTTAAATATGGACAATTCTGTCAAAGCTTTTAAAAAAAACCAAATTTGAATCTAAACAGTTGAATGTGGGGCTAAATAATGACATCACAGCACTCTGGACATCCCATAAGCGCTATGTCCTCATCTTCATCAGCCAGCAAAGAGTTCCAGTTCTGACAGTCCCAGTGGCAATTTGATTATATATCCGTCTTGTTTTTCCTCTCAAAGTGTCGACCAGATTCCATGGTCACGACGAGCTGCACCATTCTATCTAGATTATAATATTAAATCCGTGTCACAGCATTTCGAAAGCTACTGAGTTTAATGCTTGGTGCAGCACGGTGAGCAGTATTTTTCCAGTGGAATACCTTTAATTTGTACAGTGGTTGTGTCATGGTATTCAATATGGCCGGTAGCTGGTTTATATGTGAGCTGGTGAAATATCTTATGTAATAATTCTGCGTGTGTATAGCCAACTTATCGTGCCCGACTACTTCCATCAACGTCAAACTGTTCACCAGTGTTTCAAATGCAACAGTGAGGGTAATTTCATTTGATTTTCACTGACACAGGAATGGAGCAAGTATGGGAAATCCTTGTTCACCAGTGTTTCAAATGCAACAGTGAGGGTAATTTCATTTGATTTTCACTGACACAGGAATGGAGCAAGTATGGGAAATCCTGATTGCAGTGAAGTTGAAACCTCGACTTAGAAAAAGCCTAATTTCTATAAAGTTATCAAATGTATGTACTTACTTTTTCGAATTCATCGTTAATTTGCTGTAGGAGGGCTGGCTTTTCTTTCTCAAAGAAGACTCTGAGGGTATCTCCCATGTACATGTACATGACACCCAGAAGGCTGATGGCAGCCATACGGACACCCTACGAGTAACACACACATAAGAGTAATCAAAATGGACACCCAAATATTCTTCTTCTTCTTCTTTCGTTCGCTTGAAATAAATGATCTATATCTGCAATCTTGTCTCTAGCATGAATTTCACTGTCTTTTCTAATTCACTAAGCGGCCTGTAAAGTTTGACTTCCACAAGTGTCTCTTTAGGCCAAAGGTTTTGCCTGAAAGCGTTGAATCTGGGACAGTCTTGAAGGATGTGATCTATTGTTTCAGGTGCCAATGCACAGGTACACATGGCTGATTGGCCAATCTTAAATTTGTTGAACATGTGGCAGCGAAGTCGAATGTGCCCTGTTCTAAGGCGAAGGATAATGACTTGCTCTGGTCTGTCCATAATATGGTAAATACCCAAATATAAATGTTAACAAAATGGACACGCAAATATAAATGTAAACAAAATAGACATCCAAATATAAATGTTAACAAAATGGACACCCAAACATAAACACAATGGAGACTTTGAGCACGAGACAAACAGAAATGTCACGTAAACAAAATGGATACCAGATATTCAAACATATCTTCTTATTTTTCTTAAAGTTCACCAGCTGTTAAACTCTGGTGGAAAGTTTTGGTTGCTTTGCATGTACATCCATTTTACAGATCTGGCTTATTTGTATGCAGACTGTTGGTTTGTTGCTTCTCAGGCAGATGCACTCCGAATCTGAAAGAAACACCCCTAATTAGTCGCCTCCTATGACATGCTTGTTACGGTGGAGGGAAGGATGGGGTGTCTTCTTTCTTTGTATCCAAATAGGAACCCTGAAACCCACACAGGGAAAATACCAACATATAAAATGAACACATTAAGCATGAACAAACATATGTGTACAGGAAACATACAGCATAATATAACACACATAAACATTGAATGAATAATGCAATAAAGTAAAAATCCCTTATAAGTTGAGGATCAAAAAGACCAGGCTGAATATGCCACTGACACAGATATATAAGGTAATAAAGGCTTTCACATCAACTGTATACAGATATATAAGGTAATAAAGGCTTTCACATCAACTGTATACAGATATATAAGGTAATAAAGGCTTTCACATCAACTGTATACAGATATATACGGTTATAAAGGCTTTCACATCAACTGTATACAGATAAATAAGGTAAAAAAGGCTTTCACATCAACTGTATACAGATAAATAAGGTAATAAAGGCTTTCACACCAACTGTATACAGATATATAAGGTAATAAAGGCTTTCACATCAACTGTATACAGATAAATAAGGTAATAAAGGCTTTCACACCAACTGTATACAGATATATAAGGTAATAAAGGCTTTCACACCAACTGTATACAGATATATAAGGTAATAAAGGCTTTCACATCAACTGTATACAGATATATAAGGTAAAACAGGCTTTTACATCAACTGTATACAGATATATAAGGTAAAACAGGCTTTCACGTCAACTTCATACACAAAAACAGGATTAAAGTCTCACTCATCAATTTTTTATACATTTATACAGTAATCAAGTCTGACACATCAACTTCATACACACATATACAGCAATAAAGTCTGACATATTTACTCTATACACACATGTAAGTAGTAAAGTTTGACACATCAACTTTATACAAACATTTATAGTAATAAAGTCTAGTCTAGTCTCATACATCAACTTCATACACACATATACAGTAATAAAGGTTTTCCCATCAACGTTATATATATAATATAGATATATATATATATCTATAGTAAAAAGGTCTCAGGTCTTCCCTTTATATAAATATATAAGGTTAAAAAAAAGTCTCACACATAAACAATATACACACATATACAGTAATAAAAGCAGTCTAGTCAATTTTATATAGATATATAGAATAAAAAAGGCTTTCATGCAATTATATACATGCAGTAACTTACAGGATTTGTTGCAGCGAGGGCTTTGCTGATTGTTGCAATAAGGGCCTTCACACTCAGTCTATATGTTCAAGACAATAATAGTTTCTATTCACATCACAATATACTTTAACTTCCCAATATTTAATTAAATAAAAGAAACAGTAAATATACCCATATAAACATATATGAGGGACATTCATATAGTAATGCATAAAATTTGTTTCCTCGCAAATTGTTTGTGCAAAATTTATGAAATTCACTCACAATTTAACTCATTTTATATATTAAAGTCCTTAAAAGCTGCCTTTTTCACACACCTGTACTGGGCATATAGTGTCGATCTGTATTTTACAGACCAATTGGTATGATGTGGTCAACATTATGTCGACCGCCTTTACTTCCCAGGAATTTATCTGATACTCATTTACAGCTGGGTAGACTTAGGAGCCAATGTCATTTTTGAAGAAAAGTCTAGCTCCATGCAGATTTAAACCCACGACCTTCGAATCTATGAGTGAGTGTCTAGCTGTTACACCACATAGTGACTCCTATTATGTCTGTTATATATCTAATTTTATTTCATTTTATTCACTACTACGGACTTGTGCCAATGTAAAACCAAATCCTGCACGCCTTGCCTGTATTATGGGTTTTTTTTTTCCCGAAGAATCAACAGTCTGCACACAAATAAGCCAGATCTGTAAAACAGATGTGCATGTAAAACTCAAGTTCCGGAACAAGACCACAGTTTAGAAGTGGACAGCCAACCAGAACTTTCCACTGGAGTTTAGAGCCAGTTTTTTTTTTTTTTTTCATCGAACACCGGCTGTGAATTCCAGTGGAAGGTCAGGTAATCGTCCGCTTGGACTTTTGGCTTTCACCTGGACCTGATTTTTGCGTGTACAACCGTTTTTCATTTCCCTGCCTCATGGGCAGCTGTACGCCGACTTCGAAGGAAGACGTCAGGCCTATTTCTAGGGTGACTGTGGCCATTGTTTTGTGTGGGTCGGGACGTTGCCTGATTTGTGTGGTGTCCACATTGTCTCCTGTGCCGCAGATATTGCACCCGGAGTACCCCTTTGGGTCAGCCCCCTGTGGAGCAGTTAGCCCTCAAGGGAAGGCAGGGGCAGATCATGGGCATTCCCCGCCATCCAAGGAGGCATCCATGTATGCAGAGCCGGCACATGGCGCTCTGGTTCTGGGCTCACCCAAGGAATCGTCACGTCCTGCACATGACTGCTTAACCTCACAACCGTATCAGGCCTCCCGCTCGACAGGGGCTGCGCCCCCTGGAAGTCAGCGGAGAGCAGCCCGTGGGTTTTGGACTTTTGTGACCACACAGATAGGTACATTCTTTTTTCTTCGCACGTTAGATTTCTTTGACGAGCCTTTAGCCCGACAGAATTTTACATCCTGCTCCAGGCATATCGTATCAGTTTTGTCCCAACACTCGGGCGAGTGGGTTCTTTGGGTGTGGACATTCGGTCTTTTTCAGTTCAAAACAAATTTTGAGGGCAGATTTTGATCCGTATGATCTAGTTTTGTCGGACATTTAGGCTTAGCCATCCGATCGATGGTTGCTGTTATGGTGTACCACAGCGCGGTGACGACGACACTGAGGGTTAACCAAGGATGTACATGATTGGCCAGCCTATGGATGGTTGCTGTTGTGGTGTACCTCAGCGCGGTGACGACGACACTGAGGGTTAACCGAGGATGTGCATGAATGGCCAGCCTATGGATGGTTGCTGTTGTGGTGTACCCCAGCGCGGTGACGACGACACTGAGGGTTAACCGAGGATGTACATGGATGGCCAGCCTATGGATGGTTGCTGTTGTGGTGTACCTCAGCGCGGTGACGACGACACTGAGGGTTAACAGAGGATGTGCAGTGAACAATGTTCTCTTTACTCCGCAGTCTTTTAACCAAGGGTTGTAATTTTGGCTGTACGTTTGGCAGACCTACTCATGTTCCTAATGAGTTATAATAACATTTTTCACCCAAGCGTTTGGGGGCGGGCTGATGAGAGCAACAAGGACACATCACCTCTGGGGGCCGCCAAACTCCGAGATCCCCTGACAGCTCTGTTAATGCTCATTTGAGACATTATCCGTGGCGCACGACGAGGACGTGCTGCCGGGGTCTTGCGTGAGGTGCCGTACAACCAGGATATTAAAGGACTGGCGCCCGAGTGACGTACGGAGTATCTCCTTATACACATCAGGTTGGACTTAACTTCCCCTCACGCCTGTGACATAAATCACCGCGCCAGTGAACTTGAAGAAGAAAACGAGGAGTCCTCTCTCGAGGTGGAGATTTTTTACTAAAGGCTTGTTACTACTGTCTTTACAACCTGTATTTACCGCTTTTGGGGTGATGGGGGTGAATCTGAAGATTTAAAGCTGCATGGCTCGTGCAGTCACCCTGAACTGGGGGCAAGTTAGGGTGTTTGTGTGTGTGCACTCCTGACAGAAAAAGAAATTATAGTTTACAGCAGGACTATTCAACTAAGTGTATGCAGGGGCCACAATCTTGAAAATGGGGATCATCACAACTCAGAAACCAGAGCCCCAGCGTTGAAAGATCACTAATTTAATACAACTGACAATGATCTGTAGGCCACTTGCTAGGGCTCCCCAGGCCGCAAGTTGAATAGCCCTTGTTTAAAAGATCAAACCAGGGTCTCCCATACAACAGCCCCTTCAGCCAGCTGCTTTTGGCCTATTTCTACTTTTTTTTTTTTTTAAACCAGAATGAAAACTGTCTGAATCTTGTAATATCTGAGACACTTATATTACATTATGATATGACACCACTCACTTGAGTCCAAACTCCTGAATGGCAGTTGTAAGCCACAGCAGAGCCTCCTGTTGGTTTTTTGGATTCTTCTGTTCAAAAGCCATGGTCATCACCTGTTTCACACAGAATTTCAACACAGATGAAATCATCACACGTAAACTTCACAAATCTTTACATACTGCAATCAGAATACCACTTGACAAAAAGATCCCTTTACTTAGAAGAAACTGAAATAGGTACCATGATGGATATTCTAGGGAAGTAAAGACGGCCGGCGTGATGCTGACCACATTACCCACCCAGTGCCAATTGGTCAGTAAAAATATGGGGTGCACTTCCCATATGCCTGATGCACCTAAAAAGGCGTGAAAAGGGATCTTTACTTTTTTTTTTTTTTACTTAATTAGGAGAACAAACTATGCCCGTGTTAATGCAAGAACACACAAATCGGGCCTTATGCAAGAGAAAACTGTGCAACATTATAGTAAAATCAATGCCACAGAGCAGCAGAAAATGTCTAATATCATAACATGTAATAATTATGTTGGATCCCCTCAAAGACTGTAAGATAAGTTAAACTCTTTCTTAGGTTTGAGGCATTTCATTCAGTTTGTTTGAGCATTGAAAGAAGCTTGCCTAGAGCAGAGTGAGGTTAATGAACCAGAACCAATGTCAAAGTGGCCTCTCCACAGGGTTTGTTATGTTACAGTACTCCCTTTACCCTCTCCTCACTGAAAAGGCAGCAGTATGAGCAAGACCTCCACTGGAACTAAACAACTGACAAAACAATGTGTTCAGCTTATGATTCCACTTCTCCTCCTGTGTTGACCATTAAAAGGATGGTTTGGTTAGCACACTGTATTGTGGTTTACAGCTAGGTTAAGATATATGTCTTTCGGCCCAATTCATCAGATTTCGACAAAATCATAAATAATCTCCTTTTATGACATGCTTTTTAGGGGGACAGCGACCCCATCCACCCCCCAGGGATCCTGGAAACCACATGTGGGTGGTACAGCACAGACTGGCTAAGAACAGACCAAAGTTAACCATTTGTCCTTCACATGTTTTCAGTATGCCATGGTCACCAGGCCCACAACCCAATGCCCAGAGCTGATCAAAACAATAAAAACAATGAAGGCTGGCTGGAGGCCACCAACTACTGACTTTACAATATTATGTGCTGAGGCCCAAATCTCTTCCATATGTGTCTTTTGTACCACAAGAATGTTTTTTAAACCATCCACCACGGGAATCGAACCCTCACATGTCAAGAATCATGAAATAATGACATGCATTCACTAAGCTCTATGCTTAAAAGCAATACAAATTTCAATAAATTAACTGTTGAGCATTAGAACTTTTAGAAAGTGATGAGACATGATCATCTATGCTAGTCACCTGCAGAACATTTCCCTTTAAAACAGTAATCAGAGAATGGAAATCTGCTATCAAACTCACCTCTAAGCTGACAAAATCCAGTCCCAATGCCTCAGCCATGCCAGTCAAGCATTCCTTGGCAATGCCCCCGTTTTTGGCATCTCCCAGCTTGTCTACTATATCTGGCAAGCAGAACTCTGCGGATCTCTTGGAAAACTTGGAGTTGCGGGTTAGGTGAGCCACCAGCTCCAGCTTCAGCTTCAATACCTGGAAAAAGATTTTGTGTCAGTCACACTAGAAAAGGTCACTATAGCAGCCCACTCTACAAAACTACCATTACGGGTATCTCTTTTGCAGTGTAGACAGGGAGGCCTCAGAGCCTGAGAATTTAGGGCTGCATGGCTAGTGCTTTCCTCATGGACTGACCAGGTTAGGATTTTATTTCTGGCCCTGACAGACAAAATCCACCTCACAGAGGATCCGAACCTGGATCTTCCAGATGAAAGCGCAGTGTTCTTAGCCATTCTGGAAGCCGCTCCTTAACCACTCTACACAGACAGTATCTCTGAAGCAGTCTACCTCCAATAACAGTCTACACTACAAGTCTATCTAATCTACAACAACAGTCTATCTACAACAGCAGTCTATCTACAACAACGGTCTATCTACAACAACAGTCTATCTACAACAACAGTCTACAACGGTCTATCTACAATGACAGTCTATCTACAACGACAGTCTATTTACAAAGACAGTCTATCTACAACAACAATCTATCTTCAACAACAGTCTATCTACAATATTTCATCCTATAAAACATTATAATAAAATCCCTCAACAACTGTCTAGAAACAGTTAAGACCACCTAGTAAGTAACTGATTTTTCCACACTACAGTGATGGACAGCATCGGCTATTTTATGGCAGAATGACCACTGGAATGATTTTCCTTCTGTGGCCCTAAAATAGCAGCGGAGGCAAAAATCCGTAACTATATGGATAAATCAATTGTTTATCAAAAGGTCCTAAACTTGTGGTCTCCACTGTACGTTACAACAGTCTACAAATCACTCCAAAACTAACTGTAACAAGTCAATCTACAAGTGACTCAAAAGTACAACATACCATTCTATAGCTGGGAATCACATTATTGCAGTGGCTTGATGATGACCCAAACTAAAAAGGTTCCTTCTTTTTCTTTGCATTTACCAGTTGTAAATTACAGCAAATTCCAGAACTTGGGTTTTGTGTGGGCACATTTACTTTACTGATCTAGCTTATTTGTATGCAGAATGTTGGTTCCTCACCTCTTGGGTAGATGCCCTCTTGACTTCAAAGGAAGCACCCCTAATTAAATGCCTTTTACGACATGCTTGCTAGGGCCTAGTGGGATATATTCTCTTTTCTCCCATTATGGGGCTTTAAGCCCCATTTGGTGTACGCTTAGGTTAGAATACACATCAAGGTGGATTTTTAAATAAAGACCAGGGTCTAACCAACCTCAAATGATAGTACAAGGAATAATGTCTTGCAAAGTAAAAGTGGCTATGTTAGATGTTAGCCACACTACCCACTGAATCCCAATCAGCCTATAAATATATGGGTCTAAACCATATGTCTGATGCAACACATTCGAAAGAAATCAAATTTTTTGTTTCAAATCACACTACTATAGTCTGTACAAGTCAGTCTACATGGTCCCTGTGTAAAGAGAAATTGAGTAGACCCACAGCCCCTGTAACAAGCCAGCGAATGCTAAAAAAAAACACAATAACCTACATCAGTAGTTTCTTTAATTAATGACATCTCAGTCAATTAATGTCTGGTATTCATTAGTAAGGGAGTCGCCGTGGCGTAGTGGCTAGATGCTCAAGTGCGAATTGGAATTGGCGGGATCGCTTCCAGGCAGAGCCAGACTTTTTTTTTTAAATGACCTTGACTCCCAGGTAGACCCAACCTTGAGTGGGTACCGGTTGCAGTCATGGGAAGTAAAGGCGGCCGGCCTGATGCTGACCACATCACCCATCTTGTGCATATTTGTCTTTAAAAAATATATCTAGCCCTATATGCCTAAAGGCGTGGAAAAGGGGCCTTTACTTTTTATTCATTAGTAACATAAATCTAAATACTATAAATGGCACTGAACTGGGAAACAAATGGACTGAGGAAACGTGGACGTCCACGAAGAACCCTAAAACAAATGATGAGAAAGACAAAAGGTGGTGGCCTGTATCCCATCCATGATATCAAAAGAATTGCACACGATAAAACAGAATGAAGAAATGTACTGGGAGGTCTAAGTGTTGTTTGTTTGCGTTCACCAGCTGTAAACCCCAGCAGAACCCCAGCACAAAGACCTGGTTGTTAGTCCATTTCTGGACTGTGGTGTTGTTCCAGGACCTTAGTTTTGCATGTGCCTCCGTTTTACAGATCTTGCTTATTTGTATGCAGACTACTGTTTCCTAGCCTCTAAGGCAGATGCATTCTGACTGAAGGAAGCCCTCAATTAGTCCACTCTTACGACATGCTTGTTGGGAAGGCAGTGGGTCTGTTATTGTTTTCCCTACAATTGGACCCCAGAACCCACACGGGAAGGAGCCCTGAGTGATATATAACAACCTAACAGGATAATGATGTTGACAAATTCTATAAACACCCTTAGTTGACTTTTGCATTTTAGGCATTGTGTTATTCGTTGCTACTATGCAGTTTTAATCTGCTCTTCATAAAACCTCTTGATATCATATTTTGTCTATTCTACTCTTATTTACTCATCCATAATCTGCTGAATATGTTTTAACAACTTAGATGTTTTGTTTGTAAAACAAGAGAAGAAAAAGATAACTTTGTCCAGATGCAAAAAAGATAATATGCAAATCAAAAGAACAGAAAAAAAAATGCTCTATCTCATACCACTTAGGTCTCCATATGTAAAACACTAACAGATAAGACCAACTGTCGGCTCTCCTTTCAACTACGGCCGGTAGACAACAGTAGGCGGCCGGTTAGTCGGAGTTCTGTCCCCCTGATGCAGTGCAATTACGGAGTGGAAAGGAGGGAACAAAACAAATGACATAATTACTGTGTGTTGGCGATAGACAGCGTGCACTGCCCTGCTATAATCAAACGGTTACGGTTTGGGTTAGGGTTGGGGTTGGGGTTAGGGGTAGGGTGTGGGTTAGGTTTAGGGTGTGGGTTAGGGTGTGGGTTAGGGTTACGGTTAGTGTCGCCGCATCTCGTCTTCGCACAAACTCATAGTAGCAAACCAAACCCTAACCCTAACCCTAAACCTAACCCAAACCCTACCTCTAACCCTAACCCAAACCCTAACCGTATGATGACAGTAGGGCACTGCACGCTGTCTATCGCCAACACACAGTAATTATGTCACTTGTTTCGTTCCCTCTAGTCCACTCCGTAATGCGTCGCAAGAAGCGGTAATTGAACGCGGTCACTAATTTGAGTCGCAGCGCGGGGTCTGCCAGGCATGTCAACCTCAGTGTGTTTTCTGATTCGTGCCTTCTCCAGTCCGTAATTGCACTGCAGCCAGGGGGCAGAACTCCGACTAACCGGCCGTCTACTGTTGTCTACCGGCCGTAGTTGAAAGGAGAGCCCAACTGTCCTATATAGTTCTAAAACCTCGGGTATAACTAAAACAGTCAAAGTCGTATTTACAAACTTTTAAGAACAGAGTCGTAGGACGAAACCATGGGCCCATCAAGGATGCAAGCAGCGGAGAATGAAAAGTGAAAAGCAAAAATAAAATTCATAATCTGTTTATATCACCACTAATTCCTAATAGACTACATAGATTGAGAGGCATACAGAGAGAATAGCAGATTTATAAACGACAAAAACTGCGTACATAAAAGAGTTGAATGGAAGTCGGCCACAGGACAGACTGAGAAAACAGTGGAGAGGTAATATACAGAAAGACTGGAGACACCAACTGAAAGAAGGCCAATCACAGAGATAAATGGAAGCGGGTGAAACCTGCAGCAATGAACCTCAAGAGCTCCGAATGCTCAATAAGAAGTTGCATTTCCAGTTTGTTTCACCAAATGTTCCATATAAACCAGTTGGCCCGATCACTGGTTATCAATGTCATTCAACCTCCCCAAATGTGACAATGAAATCCTAGATTAGCACATACCAGACATAACAGCAACATACAAAAATGAATGGTAGTACCTACCTGAAAGTTGGTGTCCTTCAATCCAGGCTTCCTGCTGAGAACTCTGATACACACCTGGCATGGGATTTCCTCTTTACTGGTACTGCTCACAACCTGACCGACACGGAGGTAAACACAAGAATACAACCACCCGCTCACATGAATACAACCATCTCGCACACAAGAATACAACCATCTGGCACACATTAATACAACCATCTGGCACCCATTAATACAACCATCCTGCACACATGAATACAACCATCCCGCACACATGAATACAACCATCCCGCACACATGAATACAGCCATTCCGCACAATCTCATTTTAACTTCTTGGATGGGTCTCTGGGTCTGATATTTCGGGCTGCAAGGCTAATGCTGTAGCCATGAACTGGGCAGGTTAGGATTTTATTTTGGCCCCCAACAGGAACAAATGGTTGACCTTACAGAGGATTCAAACCTTGGTCTCCTCAAGAATCAAATCACTGTAGTCTGAGTGGAGTGGGTCAACGTCACATTGGCCACCTTTGCTTCCTATAATATTACCCAGTCAAACTCATGCTGGCCACCTTTACTTCCAAGAAATTACCTGGTCAACATCATGCTGACCACCTTTCGTTGTCGCCACCTTTCCATCTTTCCAGGCGATAGTGTTACATTCTGTGCTACGTGGAGTCATGGAAACCAGAGCCCACGGTGATGACCAGTGTGACCAACAAGACAAGACCCGACCGCATAAAGAAGTCTTCTACAGTTAGTGCATGGGATTGTTCAGGACCGTTGTCATCACATGTATTTAATGTGCTTCTCAAACACTCAGCTCTTTCTGCAATTAGTTCTTCTTTTATTCCTATTCCCTTCCTGATTTCCAATTCTTCCACTCAATACGATCCAAGGTCTTTGGTTACCACAAATCTACCCTCAATGTTACCACAAATCTACTCTCAATACCTGTATCTGCAGGTCATAGCAATGGCCAGCTTAACATCTTCTACCATCTGCAATTCATCATTGGCCTTGACTTCCTTCCCAGGACATTACCTGGTACCCATTTTAGGCTAGGCTGACCGGGAAGACAAATTTAATTTTCACACACACATGTAGATTCAAATCCAATACCTTTGGGCCACCAGGCAAACGACCAGTCACTTCACTACCACAAATTATGTGCTCTATAACAGACATACAAATGCATACATAAAGCAAATTAACTTCACGGCTACTGAAGCATGCACAGCCCTGTAGGCAAACCCAGTGATATGCTGCTTCCTTTAGCAAATGTCACAAGGTGCTGGTCTACAGTAATGAGCTGAGTGTAAACAAAGCAGTCTTTAAACAAACTCATTCTTAAATTAATTTTGTTTCATTGTCAACAAATACAAAACAATTTTTAAAAAAAAACAAAGACCTAAAAATATACCTTTATAAAAGATTCCATTGAAGCAAGTCGCTCTTTCCAGTTGGCACTAACAAGATTTGTCAGTATATCTCCTGGGAGGAACGTCTGGGCTTTTTCATCAACTGCTTCATCCTAAAGACAGAAATACCGGTATTTCCTGTTTTCTGTGTACCACATTATAAATCCCCCAAAAAACTAATAACGGAACCTGTGAAAGAAACTCAAAAGATCTTCCCTGTGTGGTCCCTATCACCGGGGCAAAGAAGAATAGACCTACTTCTCCCTAACAAGCATGTCACAAAAGGTGACAAATCAGTGGTGCTTCCTTTGAAGTCAGAGTGCATCTGCCCGGGAGGCGAGAACCAATAGTCTGCACACAAATAAGGCAGATCTGTAAAATGGATGTGCTTTTCCGGCATACCATGATTTTTTTTTTTTTTTTTTTTCATCGAACACCGGCTGTGAATTCCAGTGGAAGGTCAGGTAATCGTCCGCTTGGACTTTTGGCTTTCACCTGGACCTGATTTTTGCGTGTACAGCCGTTTTTTATTTCCCTGCCTCATGGGCAGCTGTACGCCGACTTCGAAGGAAGACGTCAGGCCTATTTCTAGGGTGACTGTGGCCATTGTTTTGTGTGGGTCGAGACGTTGCCTGATTTGTGTGGTGTCCACTTCGTCTCCTTTGCCGCAGGTATTGCCCCCGGAGTACCCCTTTGGGTCGGCCCCCTGTGGAACAGTTAGCCCTCAAGGGAAGGCAGGGGCAGATCTTGGGCATTCCCCGCCATCCAAGGAGGCATCCATGTATGCAGAGCCGACATATGGCGCTCTGTTTCTGGGCTCACCCAAGGAATCGTCACGTCCTGCACAAGCCTGCTTAACCTCACAACCGTATCAGGCCTCCCGCTCGACAGGGGCTGCGCCCTCTGGGGGTCAGCGGGGAGCAGCCCGCGGGTTTTGGACTTTTGTAACCACACAGATAGGTACATTCTTTTTTCTTCGCACGTTAGATTTCTTTGACGAGCCGTTAGCCCGACAGATTTTACATCCTGCATCAGGCATATCGTTATCAGTTTTGTCCCAACACTCGGGCGAGTGGTGTCTTTGGGTGTGGACATTCGGTCTTTTTCAGTTCAATTCAAATTTTGAGGTCAGATTTTGATCCGTATGATCTAGTTTTGTCGGAAATTTAGGCTTAGCCATCCGATCGATGGATGGTTGCTGTTGTGGTGTACCACAGCGCGGTGACGACGACACTGAGGGTTTACCAAGGACATGAATGGCCAGCCTGTGGATGGTTGCTGTTGTGGTGTACCCCAGCGCGGTGACGACAACACTGAGGGTTAAGCAAGGATGTACATGAATGTCCAGCCTATGGATGGTTGCTGTTGTGGTGTACCCCAGCGCGGTGACGACGACACTGAGGGTTAACCGAGGATGTACATGAATGGCCAGCCTATGGATGGTTTCTGTTGTGGTGTACCCCAGCGCGGTGACGACAACACTGAGGGTTAACAGAGGATGTGCAGTGAACAATGTTCTCTTTATTCCGCAGTCTTTTTAACCAAGGGTTGTAATTTTGGCTGTACGTTTGGCAGACCTACTCAATTTCCTAATTTTTTCACCCAAGCGTTTGGGGGCGGGCTGATGAGAGCCACAAGGACACATCACCTCTGGGGGCCGCCAAACTCCGAGATCCCCTGGCAGCTCTGTTAATGCTCATTTGAGACATTTTCTTACCCATTTAAAGTTTGAGAATAGGTTGAGGTCGTTTCGTCCCCAAGACCTCTAATCATTCGCTTTACCGGATAAAACTGCGATTGAGCGCCAGCTATCCTGAGGGAAACTTCGGAGGGAACCAGCTACTAGATGGTTCGATTAGTCTTTCGCCCCTATACCCAAGTTTGACGATTGATTTGCACGTCAGAATCGCTACGAACCTCCACCAGAGTTTCCTCTGACTTCGTTCTACTCAGGCATAGTTCACCATCTTTCGGGTCCCAGCGTGCACGCTCTTGCTCCGCCCCACTGACGACGCAGACGGGACGGGCCGGTGGTGCGCCACCCCCCTGGGAAGGAGGGAGGATCCCACCTGGGTCGCCCGAAGACGACCCTCGCTTTCACTGCGCCTTTGGGTTTCGTACCGCCCAATGACTCGCGCGCATGTTAGACTCCTTGGTCCGTGTTGCAAGACGGGATACCATGATAATCTGCATTTTTCGGCACGCTGTGATGCTCTGCAGTTTTCAGCACGCCATGATGCTGTCCACTTGTTCGGCATATTGTGATGCTCTGCATGTCATGGTGAGAGCGATGCACTGCAAAGAAACTGCTACACAATAATGATGATGATGAGCTTCTGGTTTTAAGTGCAACATACTGGAAGGGGGGGGGGGGGGGGGGGGGGGGGGGGGGGGGGGGGGGGGGGGGGGGGGGGGGGGGGGGGTTGGCGCACTACAATTAATACAGCTAGGCTTTGATATAAAAGTCAATATGATAAACCCATATTACTCTATGCTCATACATTTGCAACCTGGCAATAAAAACAATCCCAGAACTGCATCAAAATGTGTGCATGATCTATTCAAGAGTCACAGACTGAAGACAGTATTCTACTCTTAAACATACTAGTACATAAACGTTAGTTTCAGATGTGTTGCTGGGTTTTGGTTCGTAATAATTTCACTCTGTAAGATATACAGAAGAACCTCGCTTAACGAGCACCTCTCATAATGAGTAATTCGCATAACGAGCAAAACAAGTTGTAAAAGAATGACTTGCTTAATGAGCGTCGTTTCGCATAACAAGTGGCGAGGAGAGGGGACGTCCCAGATTGTGCGGATGTTACACCAGTCTGTGTTTAGCACTCGTTCCAGTAGCATCGTAATGTGGCTTGTGATCATACATTTTCTCAAACTTGTGTTATATTGTAATATATGTACATGAATCCTCCAGGCCTACAAGATGACCTATCTGAAGAATTTAAGTTCATCAAGATCCAGTTTCTGCCTCCCAACACCACTTCGTTTCTCCAGCCCATGGACCAGCAAGTTATTTCTAACTTTAAGAAGCTCTAAACTAAAGCACTCTTCGAGCAATGGTTTCAGGTGACTAAAGGGACCAACCTCACTCTAAAAGAGTTTGGAAAAATCACTTCCACGTCGTTGCCTGCCTCAAGATGATCGACACGGTGGGAGAAGAAGTTAACAAGAGAACCCTAACTTCTGCTTGAAAGAAGCTTTGGCCGGAGAGCGTTGTCGATCTGTGACTTTTAGGGGTTCGAGACAGTACCTGTGGAACCTGTAGTCAACGAGATTGTGTCTTTGGCCACTTTCATGGGATTGTAGGTGGATAACAGTGATATCGAAGAGCTTGTAGAAGAGCACAGCCAAGAGCACTGAAGAGCTTATGGAGTTGCATTGTTTGTCAGGAGGAGGAGGATCTAACAGAAAAGCAACAATCTTCTTGCTAAATAAGAGAAATGCTGAAACCATGGGAAACTGTTGCATCTTACATTGAGAAGCATCACCCTAATGAGGAAATGGCTAAGCGCTGCAAATTTATTTAACAACAATGCTGTGTCACATTTTTGCCAAATTTTGAAGCGTCGGCAAAAACCAAATGTCTCTGGACATCTTTCTAGTAAAAAAAAATAATTAGCTATGTAAAATAATTATTTCAACTTTTTTGTTTTGTTTTCTGCAAATCGAATTCGCATTCCAGGTGGGTTCGTTCCGCGTTTGAAGAAAATATGAAGATGATTTACTCTCCTTAACAATATGTATATAATTTTCTTTGAATTAACTTTTTACATAGCATTTTGTGAGTATTTTTTTCGACATGGAACACAGCATCATATTTTACATTAATTTATATGAGAAAAATTGTTTCACATAACCAGTGTTTCGCATAACGAGTATGATTCTGGAACGAATTATGCTCGTTAAGCTAGGTTCCACTGTAGTCCAATATTCTGAACTCTTGCAACCACATAAAGCAATCAAATAGTTCTATTACACAGTAAGAAAAAAAGCAACATAGAACAAATAAAATGCTTAATGAATCTAACGTGAAAATGTTGAAAAAGTAATGTTTTCAACAATGAATAGTATTTTTTTTAAAGCTTGACAAATTGTGAAAACAAAACAGACAAACATAACATGTTACGTGAGATGAGAAAGAGTTATAATAAGATCCTTCTCTGCTGTATGTCCACTGCATGTAAAACAAAAGACATTACAAGAGAAACAAAGGCATACACATCAATACAATGTCTGAGCTGTTTCTAAGTAAATCAGCACCGTTTTTGAATACTTCGGCGCCTGTGACTTAGGCATTGCAAACATGGTTTGTAACTCTGAGTTATCCGGCTCAATCCCTGCTGCAGGCAATTTGGCAGCAGACTGTTGTGTTGTTTTCTACAATGGTACTGACCATTCACAAAGCAGTGGCAAACTACTGAACATAAAACTGCCTAATAAAATCACAAACAGGCAAAACAATGCTGAGGTTGGTTCTGCAGTCTCCTGTAAAGGATATGGAACTAATTTTCAAATACTCATCACGTCAACCTTGTCTACACTGGCCAGGTTGGATATTCCATCTCTCTATCACATCGACCCTGTCTATGCTGGCCAGGTGGGATATTCCATCTACCCATCACGTCGACCCTGTCTATACTGGCCAGGTTGGATATTCCATCTACCCATCACGTCGACCCTGTCTACACTGGCCAGGTTGGATATTCCATCTACCCATCACGTCGACCATGTCTACACTGGCCAGGTTGGATATTCCATCTATGCATCATGTCGACCCTGTCTACACTGGCCAGGTTGGATATTCCATCTATCCATCATGTCGACCTACAATGGACAGGTTCCCAGCTGGTCACCTGTTTCTAGGACAAGGCTCTCTGGGTTGCACTACATGGGAGGGAAGAGGGGGGGTAGTCTTGATACATGTCCAAACCACCTGATCTGTTGTTGCTTGATGTAGTTAAGCACTGGTTCTGTCCCAACTACCTTCCTGATATTGTCATGGCTGATCGTGTCTCTTCTAGTTACATTTATAATTTTTTTTTAGAAATTTGTTTTTCTGTGCCCTCCTGCATTTACAGTAATCTCCCACGAGTGTCTCTACCTTCTTGGGGTGAGGGGTCATGTTTTTCAATGACCCTGAGAACTATGCAGGTCGTAGCGTAGCTACCACCAAACAGGTCAAAAGGTAGGAACAGATAAAGAGAGACAATGGGCTCCTCTGAGTTGACACCGACTTTCCTGAAATCTCATTCTGTCTTGAAAGAGATGTCTAAGCCTCACAATCTTAAGGATTTAAACAAGCAACGACCCTAGAACATTGAAGGACTTTTGTATTTTATATTTACAATATATGACCTTGATGGCTAATATTTAGACCAAGCCATGATATCGTTTTTTTTTTAAGTGTTCAATAATTGTCTGTTTTCTCCAATACCTTTAAAATTTTCATTTGATGTTTCTCTGTAAACTTCTTCTTTGCATCCTACAATAACACAAGTTCCTTTCATCGCAAATTGTATGTATTTCTCAATCATTTTCAAAAACAACATTATGTTCAAGACCACATCTGTGTGTTTACTTGTAAACAGTGCAAAGTCCTGTTGTACATCTACTTCTTCTTCTTCTTCTTCTTCGCATCATTCACCAGCTGTAACCTCCAGCGGAAAGTTCAGGTTGTTCATCCACCTCTGGACTCTTGTTCTAGAACCTGAGTGTTGCAAGAACACCTGTTTTAAAGATCTGAATTACGTGTATGTAGATTAATGGTTCCTTGCCTCTCAGGCAGATGCACTCTGACTTTGAAGGCAGCCCCCAGTTAGTCAACTCTTACGACATGCTTGCTACTGGGTCTATTCTTGTTGTCCCTAAAAGGTGGGCCTAGAACTCACACAGGGACATCCACTTTTTGACCTTGTTCCTGTTGCATGATTTGAGTGTTGCATTACATCTGTTTTACATGACCGGCTTATTTGTGTGCAGGTTAATGGGACTAAGGTGGCAACATTCTTAATTGTATCTTTTCACCCAAAGAAGAGACACAGAAAGGGGTAGGGGAAACTATGACGACACTTAAAATGAATCCTAGATCTGGTACTTACGCTGAGGGCAGGTTCAGCCTTCTCCTCCCCACCTCCCTTTTTGGCTGCAGGACCCTTCTTCGCTGGACCTTTGGTGGGCTGCCAAATACAATGAGATTGTTAGATGAGACACTACTGAAGAATTAAAGATGGGGCATCAAGGCTCCCCTATGTCTCTCTTTTTCTCTGTGCATGTTTTCAGAGATATACACCCAGAGAGAGGGGGAGGGGAGGAGAGAGATAAATGTGTGACTGAGGAGGGGGGAAAGAGAGAAAGAGGAAGAAAGAGAGACAGAGACAGAAAGAAAAATATATGCTATTAAGGAATATACAATGATTAAACTACTATAAGTATTCTGAATTAATACTAAACTAAATTAATGCCTTAACTTCGAGTTTTGTGTGTGTTGTTTTAACTAAAGGTTTTTCTTTGAAGATTAAAAAACATTTACATCTCTGAAATGTACACAGTAGAAAACAATGCTAATATTAAATAATATTTTGATAAACTAGCTTTCAATGACAAGGGCTCACTTTCAACAAGTAAGGAAACAACATAAAATTCTTAATTTCCTAAATCTAAAAATATTAACACTAGATGATCTAACTGCTTGAATGGAGAGTGAGAAGCAACAACAAAATTCATAATCTGTTGATCACTGGCATCATGAGAGCTAATAGACTGACATGGTTGGGGCACATTAAGAGAATGTAAGAAAACAGAGAAGTGAAAACTGTATACACAAGGGAGATGAATGGTCGTAGACCACGAGGCAGACCAAAAAGATGATGGAGAGATAATATCCAGACAGACCTGCAAACACTTAGTGTCACCAACTGGAAAGAGAGGGCCAACCAGAGAGATGAATGGAGGCGGGTGATTTCTGCAGCAATGAACCTCAGGGGCTCGGAGTGCCGAAGAGGAAGGAGGAATATTGTATAAATGATCTTTCTATGCCAGAGCTTAGGTCAGTGATGATCCCCATCTTCAACATTTTGGCCTCTGAGTAAACTTAGTTGAATAGCCCTCATTTACAGTGATGTTAGAAAGTAGAACATGCAGCAGAAATAAATACAATCTTCATCTCTGCTTGACTGATTACACTAAGGCTTTTGACAGAGCAAGACATGATAAATATAATTACAAATCTACGAGTCAGTGGGAAATAACTTAGACTGATTAAGAACACATACTGCAAACAACATGCTGCTAGTAGAATTGATAGTGAAGTAGGTCCATACCAGTCAGTCAATAGAGATCTAACTGTTAGCACAGCAGATAATTTTCACAACCAGGGGAGATCACTACCAGTGACTGTGTATTGCTTCTAATCAGGATGCACGCATCCAGACCTACCTACACCTCTCCGTGGTCACCACAGAAACAGGCTACCAACTGGAAGCCTAACAAATGCAGATAGGATCGAGACATTTTGTTTTAAGCTGGAGTGAATCTGCCTGAGAATTAAGGAACCAACAGTCTGTTCGCAAATAAACCTGACCTGTAAAAACAGATATGGTATGCAAAACTTAAGTTCTATAACAAGACCAAAGCCTACCAGTGGATGAACAATCAGGATACTCCTCCGGAGTTTACAGCCGGTGAAGGAGGAGGAGAAGAGGAAGAAGAAGTTCCCCATTGAGGAAAGAATACTGTTCAACTGGCTTGGCCCACAGGTGAACTTTGCCTAATATCAGCACCAACAGATATTATAAGAAATAAAGGTGGCTAGCAGGGTACCTTGCTGATAACAACGTGAAATGATAAAACTATAAAACAGTAAAGATGTGAATTGATAATACAATGACAGGATAAAAACTGAAATGATAACACTGTGTAGGAAGTAATAACACTGTAAGACAATAAAACAGTGAAATAACAGTGTATAAATGAAACTTACTTTCATTGGCATGTGAAATTACACAGAGTAGAAGAAACAAAGTAATGATAACACAGTGAAATGACAACTCTGAACAAATAATGTGAAATGAAAACACTGTCAAACGATATCACTGAAACAATAATCTGAAATGATAACACTGATAAATAATAAAATAGGGAAACAATAATTTGAGATAACACTGTGAAATGATAAAACAGTAAAACAATTATGTGAATGTTAAAAAAAACAGTGAAACAATAATGTGACTGGAAAAAAAACTGAAACAATAACCTGAAAATTATAAAACAGTGAAACGGTACTGTGAAATGACAAAACAGTGAAACAATAATGTGAAATGATAGCACTGTGAAATGACAAAACAGTGAAACATTAATGTGAAACGATAGCACTGTGAAATGACAAAACAGTGAAACATTAATGTGAAACGATAGCACTGTGAAATGACAAAACAGTGAAACAAAAGACTTACTTTTGCTTTTGGTTTGCCAGCAGCTGGTCCTGGGGGCTGATAATACAAGAAAAAAACCAACATTTGAAACCAGTTAGCTGTATATAACACTTTCCACTGTCAGGATGTACGCACAAATGTCATATATATGAACCTTGAAGTGTTCAATCTGCGTGTTTTTATATTGTAATTAAGTAGCAAACTTGTCTAAGCTCGGTGGATAAAGACAGAAAGTAAAAGAAAGACAGAAAGAAAGAAAGAAAAAAAGAAAGAAAGAAAGAAAGAAAGAAAGAAAGAAAGAAAGAAAGAAAGAAAGAAAGAAAGAAAGAAAGAAAGAAAGAAAGAAAGAAAGAAAGAAAGAAAGGAAAAAAAGGAAGAGAAGAAGGGAAGAAAGAAGAAAGAAAGAAAGAAGAAAGAAAGAAAGAAAGAAAGAAAGAAAGAAAGAAAAAGAAAGAAAGAAAGAAAGAAAGAAAGAAAGAAAGAAAGAAAGAAAGAAAGAAAGAAAGAAAAGAAAGAAAGAAAGAAAGAAAGAAAGAAAGAAAGAAAGAAAGAAAGAAAGAAAGAAAGAAAGAAAGAAAGAAAGAAAGAAAGAAAGAAAGAAAGGGACATGGAGAGTGAGACTGAGATAGAGATAGATTTTGTGTATGTGCTGATGAGAGCTCCATAGCGGCAACCTTCACATTTTGTTTGTGTTTGTTATATTGTGAAGCTTGCTGATATACTTTTCATTCGGTTTTATATCTTTTCTTGGGATAGAGAGACAAAGACAGAGAGATACACACACACACACACATAAAAAAAGACAAAAACAGACAGACAGACAGACAGACAGACAGACAGACAGACAGACAGACAGACAGACAGACAGACAGACAGACAGACAGACAGACAGACAGACAGACAGAGCAGAGAGAGAGAGAGATACAGTCATAAGGAAAGGAAATCAGAAAGAGACAGAAAATAGACAAATTGAGACAGAGACAGGCAAACACAGAAGGGAGGAAGGAGGAGGAGAGAGAAAGAAAATGCCAGAAAGAGGTGGAAATGGAGTGTGTGAATGCACTACTACTAAACTAATCAAATTTTGTTAGGGAGTGTTTACACATTTTAATTCAAAACTCACACATTAAAAAAACCCGATATTTAAACTTCTACATTAAATTCTTTTCCTTCAGAACTCCGAGCCCTTGAGGTCCACTGCTGCAGATATCACCTGTTGGTGACTCCAAGAGTATATTATCTCTCCTCCATATTCTTGGTCTCCCTTGTGTCTATTCACATTCAACTCTGTATTAGGCACTCTGAAAATAATAATGTTGAGGTCGACCACGCAAAACACAGACCGAAGAAATATCAGACACTGAAAAGTATTTTATATGAAGCGAACAGAAGGGCCCGTTTCTGAGATTTCTTACTGCCCTGATGCCACAATGTATTCCAGGAGTAGAGAAAAGAAGAAATAAGAAGAAATAATTCAAAATACCTTTTCAAAAATTATGGAATTGCTGATTTAGAACAATATTACCAATAACGGTGTATAACTGAAATACCAATAATAACGATACAAGTTTATAACTGAAATACTAATAAGAACAGTTAGTAAAGCATACAAAGAAAAGCTTAGAACTAAAATATGTATAAAATAAGTAATATCTAACAAACAAAAAACAAAAAAAAAGCTAATATTACTATACAATAATTTTATGACCCTACCCCTCCTGGCTTAACACCGGCTGGTTTTTTCACAGGTTTGGGTTCTTCCTCAGCTTTCTGGGCAGGAGCAGCCGCAGTCTTGGCTGCAGGTGGAGCTGCACTTCCTTTTGTTCTAGGCTCCCCTTTTGCATTGAGCAGCACAGCTTTTTGACTCCACTCTTGAATCTGATAGAGAAAAGCACTGAATTTAAGAAATGTTTCATACAGCTGTAAAAGAAAATGAACAAGTTTATTGGATTGCAGGTAAGGCTAATGTCTAGGATGGCTGAGCAAGGGGCCAGGCTGATAGACAGAATGCTGTACGAAAAGAAAGACATTTGCAAGAATTAAGTGATGACCGTGAATCTTCGGCAACGACTAGGCTTTTCAAGAACAGTAAGTGAAAAGGGGTGGGGCTAGCAAGAGCACTAAGCAGGTAGGCAAAGAAGAAGAATAAACCAATGCAGACCTGGTAACGTCAGTGTCTGTAAGCCGCAGGATTTACTGAAAAGGGGATCCGAGCACTTATGGGCTAAATAGTTTGATGTGCAAGGAGGATGATATATCTACTAATTAACTAACTAATCTGTGTCAGCGAGCAGTCATTTTGATTTACATAAATCTCCCGCGGTTTTGCCCTAGGGCCCTATTTTTGTGGTTGGGAGATTAGACCTACTGCCCTCCCCCCCCCCCAATAGGCATGTCGTAAAAGGTAATTAGGGATGTTTCCTTTGAAGCTGAAGTGCATCTAAAAAGTGGTGAATCAACAGTCTCATACAATTACACCAGATCTACAAAATGAATGTGCAGGTAAAGCTCAGAACAAGACAAAGTCCAGAAGTAGACAAAAAAACAGAACTTTCCACCTCATTTCTTAGCAGGTGAACGTGAAAAAGATGATATTACCTGACCACCAAGTGTACACAGTCAAAAAGATACGTGTTTCAAGTCCAATTTTGGGGACAAATTTCCAGACACTATTGGTATTTTACTCTTTTTTTTTTATCTTATGTTTCGTTTTTTTTTTTTACATGACCTCATGCTTGTTTTATAGAAAATGTGCAAAGTTTGCGCCTTTTGGTCGACACACAAAACTTCTTCAGAAATGTGTTAACTGTGTTAGCTTTCCTGACTATTACTGGCATCATAATGGTGTTTGGTCATTACATTCCTTGTATAACCTCTTATCTGGAGTCTATGTCATGCAATGGGTAGAGAACAAACAACCTGAAGATCTGGACTTCACAGATGATATTGTTCTTTTATGTAAAAAAAAAAAAAAAAAACCATGCGAAGGAAAAACTGACGATTTGTCACCTTCAGCAGGCTACAAAAAAAAGTTATAAGAAAACACATATATTAAAGATACCAACAACAGATCATGTAGATGTCATGCTAGAAAACAAAAAAAATTATGGAAAATTTCACCTACTTAGGAAACCATTTTGGCTATCAAGGAGATACAACGATGGAAATTATGATATGCACCGCAAAGCAACAACAGTTTTTAAAAAGCCTGAACAAAATATGGAGCTCCAAAGTTTTACAGCTTTAAGACCAAACTATCAATGTTCAGTTCTAACATTATTTCAGTTCTGACATATGCCAGACACAGTTGGAGAACCTCCAAAGACATGGAAACAAAAGTTAACTGCATTTGAAACATACATTTCTGAGAAATAATATGAACATAAAATTGGATTCATTTTTTAAACATGCGGAGACCCGGAAAATGTCTGAACAGATGCCTGTATTGCCTACAATAAGACAAAGAAGGTGAAAATATACTCGGCACTCAGGCAAAATGAGCAAATAATTACAAAACTAGCACTAAAACGGGAAACAAATGGTCTGAGAAAAAGAAGACATCCAAGGAAAATATTAAGATGATCATCACAACAAGCTAAAAACTGCCGGGCTCAACTCCATATCAGAAATTGAGAGTTGCATGCAACAGAGCGGAGTGGGTGATTAATGGCACATGAAGGATGATGATGATGTCATCTAATGCAGAGAGATAAAATCAACTCACAAGTTCTAAAGTGATTATAACAGGAACCAGAAACCTGTTTAACAAGGCATGCCGTTTCCATTTTATATCTCTGTGAGACCTTTGTTGAAACATTTTTAATAAAACTAAAAACAGAAGTAAACCCCAAGCTGACGAATACATTGATTACCTTCTGCATTTTAATGTTGTCCACATCTGTAAGGAACGGAGCAATGTTCTTCTCAGAGACAACCTTCATGGCAACACCCAGGGCTTCAAACGATCCTTCCCTCACATTCTGGTCTGGCTCATTGGCCGTCTGTAGTTAGAAAGCATGAAACAATACAGGAGATTATCCGAAGCAGTCATTATTGTGGCGGGTTCTGACTCCCCCTTTAAGGGGGGGGGGGGGAAATAGAGCCACTGCATCCCTAACAAGCATGTCGTAAGCAAAGAATAATTAGGACTTTCCTTCAAAGTCAGAGTGCATCTGCCTGAGGCAATGAACCAACAGTCTGCATACATATATGCCAAATCTGTAAAACGAATGTGCAGACTCAACTCAAGTTCTGCAACAAGATTAAGGTTTATAAGTGGATGAATAACCAGAACTTTCCTCCTGAATTTACAGCCGGTGCACGTGAAGAAGAGGATCCAAAGCAGTCAACAGTTTCAATGTCAGCAATTACTAGAGACCATAGGCGTGGCAAAGAATACTATCCCTATATATGGGGGCTGAGTGGTCTCGGGGCATGGCTTCCGCCCCAGGTGCTGGATGTTCCAGGCTCAGGATGGGATATTTTCATGTGGACTTCTAATAATTTCCAGTGAACTCTGGGTAGTAAGATCGGAAGCCCGAGTGTACTGCAGCACATGTTAAAAATCCCCTGGCAGTTAAAAATCTACCTAAAATATTTTAGGATCTTCACCCGTGCTACAGAGTTCGTGCACTGCGCTGAGATTCTTCAGACTTAGGCTTGCGTCAGAAGTAGAACGGAACACTTATGGGTTACTACCCTTGTGCCATGATGCTGATCCGTCGTCCAAACCTAAACTATCCCTATAACTTAGAATGCATGCTGAAAGCAATGACTTACCCTGTAGCGTCAAGAACCCCCAGTACCATCACTTTTGTCCGTGACTTAATCCTGTAACTGCTGCATACCAAACAGGCAGTTCCCAGTGGCTTCTTTTTGAGAAGCAGTTACATGCTATTGGTTATATTAGCTCATGTGCAGTGCTTGGGAGGTCCAGGCATGGATATATTTACTAAAACTAGCAATTCTGGGAGTTTCTTGTGAACCAAACCCCTTTTATAAAGCGACTTTGACATCATAATACCAATCAGCCTCAATGTTAGAGGTCACGGCACGAGTCACCCAATACATATTTTTAAGACCATGTGGAGTGTATTCCACTGAATCCTTCCAATTGTTAGTGAAGTAGCAAAATGTCTGCCCCGCACAAAAATTTCCAAAATCAAGTGGTACTCAATAATTCTACAATGTGACCATACATTATGTGAAGAGAATTTAATAATATTTTGCTATACTTTAAGAAGTGATACAACAATAAATTATGTGAAATTTTACCTTAAGAAGTGGTGTTACATAAGCCTTCAGCATCTTCTTTGGCAGTGTAGCTGGTGTGCATTTGGCAAAACAGCGAGCCAAGAATATGGCAGTTTCAGCCTTGATGCTTGGGTTTTTGTTATCTAGAGCTGCCACAACGTCTTCCATGATTGCTTCCAAATTGGTCTAAAGTATAATAAATTTTAAAACATTCAACAACAGACTAGATTTTAGTAACAATGATGATTACAATACTTATGATAATATAACATTCTTTAACATAACATATGGGGAGCCACCACGATTGTTGTTGCTAGACGCTTGCCTGCAGATCCAAAAGTAGTGGGTTCAAATCCAAAGAAGCCTGACATTAGCTCCCAAGATGACCCAGCCTTAAATGGGTACCAGGCAATTTCCTGGGAAGTAAAGGTGGCTGGCAAAATGTTGACCACATCACCCACCAAGTGCCGAATGGTCTATAAAATACAGATCTAAAGCAATATGCCCAATACACCTAAAGGTCTGAAAATTGGTCCTTTACTTATCGAAAATATGATAAAAACAGTTTAAGACTAAAAATACAGCAATATATTGGGCACATGCTGAAAGGAAGCAGACTTTTTTTTTTACTAAATAGGTAGCACAGTGAGAAATAAATGGATTGAGGAAACAAGAGTGTTTATAGAAACCCTAAGACTAATGCTGAGGAGAAAGGCTACAAGTGTTCAACTGGATTCCCTCCACCATACTGAAAAGACAGCCTAGAAAAAACTAGAATAACAAATTGGGCATCCCTTCTTACATTCGGCCCTTTTAAACATTTATCTTTCTCATGGCAACTCTATTTTATATATAAAGCATATTATGTTCATATATCAAAATTTATATTACAATGACAAGTGAAAATAAAAAAACCGTGGATGACAAATGTACACCTTCAAATGTTCATGCAAAATACACACAAGCTAGGTAGACGTGCAGACACACAACACACACAGACACAACATACGCAGAAACACCTGGAATAGACTGCAAGTCCTATGTGACATATAAATGCCACAATAGAATGGTTATAATTTATATGAGAAAAATTACTCAATAGCCCAAATGTACACTGTGGATCCCTGTATTGACTTGTAAGTCACACAATACTGCACTTCTACTGAACAGAACAATCGATACTCACGGCTTCATAGCAAGCATCAATGGCCTCCCTCAGCGCAGCAACAACATTGGTTTTCTTCTCTTTAAACTTTTCCAGCAGGGTGGACACACACTATAAAAAGGTAAATGAAGATGGGGATTATCAAGCTCTGGAAAAAACTCATTTAAATAACTGAACTTAAGCACGCTAAGATTTGTACGATCTGTTTTCATCTTCACTATAACCCATGTGAGTGAGTGAGTGTGGGGGAAGGAGGGAGGGGGGAGAGAGAGAGAGTATGTGTGGGTGCATATGTGAGTGATGTGTGCGCATAAGCTTGTGTGTATGCGTGGGTGAGTGTGTGTGTCTAGAGCACAGCCAGGCATTCCTGGATCCAACAACTCCTGCAGCTGTAGAAAGAAGAATCACCGAGAACTAATTTAATACATCTTTGGTAAAAGTAATGACAGTAATGTTCAGAACATATCCTTGCTTTATCTTCTCCATGCACAATCACACATCAATATATTTACAGAAGGACATTCCTATGTGGTCAGTCTCTCTTAGCAGAAAGTGAAGCTTGTGGATGATGCAGGACTGTGCTGTGAGCTGCTAGCTACACATAAACATCATTCTCACCTGCACTCATTGCAGCGAATACTCAACACATAGTTCATAGCTTGGTTTACTATAGAATAAGCCAAGAATTAAGAAAACAGCTGTATACCCTTAATATTCTGTGGGAATAAACAGTCAGTCAGTCAGGTCCAATTTACAATAAAGGCTGGCTTCCATGGATTTCCAGCATTGCTCCAACATTCTCATACACTGTGAGAATGCTGCTCATTCATTTCTTCTTGTCCTCCTCCCACTTGTATGGATGACTGTTTCTTGCCTTTAACTTGCTCTTCTAGTGTGGCTTTTATATTGCTGAAATATTTCACTCATCTCTTTTTCATTTCTTCCAACAACTCTCTTTTCATTCCCGATTCTCCTGAGCCCCTGTACTTTGTTTTTGTTTCCATGAAACACAACCTATTCTTCTGTATACCTACACTCCCAGAGACAAGGAATAATATGAGCAGATAACAATTTATTTCAACATATTAGGAAAAACGTACGGTAGTAGCATAAGGTTGAAACTTCTTGCGTAATCCTTTTGCTATTCCAGCTAGGATTTTTCCAGCCAAAGCAACCAACATCACATTTGTGTCTTTGGCGATGACCTAATTTGAAAAATCATCAAATACAAACTTAACAATGAAATGATTCCCTTCAAAAATAGGCTTTAGAAAAATTATTACTGCAGTTAGTATGCTAACAGTGAGTTAAGGTTATAGAGAGAATCAACTACATTGCAGCAACTTTTATTTCAATAGCTTGGTCTCTCTCCATGGAATGGCTCACCACTTGCCAAGACTGCCACACCCAGCAGGAACTCTGCAGCTTCAGTGATGATCCCCTAAAACTGCACTCATGGCCCGAACAATGCAATTGGGAAATGAATCAATACCTTCACAGTGCAAGGCAAACAACCTGACCACTTTGCCATAGAGACCCCCCCCCCCCCCCCCTTATCCCCTGAGTACACATTAGTACTTCTGCAGATGTCCCTAGTGCTTCCATAGTGGGCTATTTGTTTTTTAACCACTGAAGACACAATGCGGCCATACAAAAGGACACTCAGTGAACAGACATTTGAACTTAAATAAAAATTCATTAGAACCCTCAGTAGAAAGATGTTTTAACTAAGGTTTATCACACAGTAGGGCTCTCGGTCTACTGACATTTGAACCATAGTTTGTCATTTAGTAAGATACTCGGCCAGCGAACTAATCTCATATTTAAAACTATTTTTCAATTGAGGTTATCACGCATGTTTTATAGGTGGCTGATGAGTACCTGTTGAATGTTGAAAAAATAATCAACATCACTCCGGACACTCCCATAAGTGCTCAGTCCCCATCTTCAGCAGCAAGCGAAGAGTTTCAGTTCCGATGGTACCAGTAACCATCTGACTGTACATTCGTCCCAACCTTCCCCTGAGTAATGAGCGTCGGCCAGATCCCCTGGTAACTCCTCGCATCGCCATTCTCCTTAGACCGTAATGATCTATCTGCGCCTCTGCACGCCTTCACTCGCTCCCAAAGGGCCCTCACAATATCTAACTGGTCATACATCAATTCACCACCAAGTGGTGCAGAGTCAGCTAGTCTATCTGCCTGCTCATTTCCTAACACACAGGTATGAGTACCTAAGGATTTCTAGTCACTGCATGTCTGGGGTCTACCATAATCGGAGATCCCCTGCCAGCTCAGTCTAGGTCAATAAAGAGCACTATCCGTGGCTCACGCTAAGGAAGTGTGCGGAGAGCCTTGCATGGGTCTGGTGGTGACCGAGGTGAGGTACGGAGTATTTCCTGCCCCAGGTTAGGTATGGACTATCTCCTTATACATAGTAAAGTAGCCTTAACTTTTCCTCATGTCTTTGACCAAAATCACAGTGCCACTGAAGGGAATATGAAAGAACAATGTTTACCTTTAATAGGACTCTCACTAACTGACTGTAGTCGCCATTTTCAATTTTAGGAGATTCCGACAACTTCAGGACAGCATCTAGAGCTTCCTTTCTCTCCTGCCACTTCTTTGCTTCCTGAGTAAAGACAAAATATCAAAATCATAACAAGAATCATTTACATATTACTGGAAAAAAGACACATTACTGGAAAAAAGACACATTACTGGAAAAAAGAAACACAGAAAGATGACAGCAACAGCAGCACCACCACACATACAAGAATCTATATGAAGTATGATGAAACTAATAAACAATAAACCTCGTTAACATGAATTCCAAAGGATCAAAAATAGAGTTAGTGTTTTTAAAAAATGTGTGCTAACCAAAGACTACCAATAACAGTAATACATCCCTGGTGGGACGTACATTTTGTTCGTGTTGACAGAGTATTCTTGTTTCACTGTACAAATCTTGACCATTTCGCCTCGTAAATATCTTTAAAAAGTGACCTTTTCCCAAATTTAATTTACAAGAAACAAATCTGTATAATTTTCTTAAACTTGACCATTAGAAACTAGAGAAAGATAAGAGGCAGAAGAAATTGTGAAAGAGCCAGTAACATAATGTCTCCAGAATATACTTACAATCTGTTCATAGAAATTTTTCGGCAACTCTGCAAGAACATTCACTGATGGCATCAGCTCATATGGGTCAATAGCGTCATCATCATCTGAAAACACAACCATTTCTTAACAACTTCATAGATGTAACCTCCTTCTGGTCTGAAAACACAACGATTTCTTAAAAACTTCATAGATGTAACCTCCTTCTGGTCTGAAAACACAACCATTTCTTAACAACTTCGTAGATGTAACCTCCTTCTGGTCTGAAAACACAACTATTTCTTAACAACTTCATAGATGAACCTCCTTCTAGTCTGAAAACACAACCATTTCTTAAAAACTTCATAGATGTAATCCCCTTCTGATCTGAAAACACAACCATTTCTTAACAACTTCATAGATGTAACCTCCTTCTGGTCTGAAAACACAACCATTTCTTAACAACTTCATAGATGTAACCTCCTTCTGGTCTGAAAACACAACCATTTCTTAAAAACTTCATAGATGTAACCTCCTTCTGGTCTGAAAACACAACCATTTCTTAAAAACTTCATAGATGTAACCTCCTTCTGGTCTGAAAACACAACCATTTCTTAAAAACTTCATAGATGTAACCTCCTTCTGGTCTGAAAACACAACCATTTCTTAACAACTTCATAGATGTAACCTCCTTCTGGTCTGAAAACACAACGATTTCTTAAAAACTTCATAGATGTAACCTCCTTCTGGTCTGAAAACACAACGATTTCTTAAAAACTTCATAGATGTAACCTCCTTCTGGTCTGAAAACACAATCATTTCTTAACAACTTCATAGATGTAACCTCCTTCTGGTCTGAAAACACAACCATTTCTTAAAAACTTCATAGATGTAACCTCCTTCTGGTCTGAAAACACAACCATTTCTTAAAAACTTCATAGATGTAACCTCCTTCTGGTCTGAAAACACAACCATTTCTTAAAAACTTCATAGATGTAACCTCCTTCTGGTCTGAAAACACAACCATTTCTTAACAACTTCATAGATGTAACCTCCTTCTGGTCTGAAAACACAACCATTTCTTAACAACTTCATAGATGTAACCTCCTTCTGGTCTGAAAACACAACCATTTCTTAAAAACTTCATAGATGTAACCTCCTTCTGGTCTGAAAACACAACCATTTCTTAAAAACTTCATAGATGTAACCTCCTTCTGGTCTGAAAACACAACCATTTCTTAAAAACTTCATAGATGTAACCTCCTTCTGGTCTGAAAACACAACCATTTCTTAACAACTTCATAGATGTAACCTCCTTCTGGTCTGAAAACACAACGATTTCTTAAAAACTTCATAGATGTAACCTCCTTCTGGTCTGAAAACACAACGATTTCTTAAAAACTTCATAGATGTAACCTCCTTCTGGTCTGAAAACACAATCATTTCTTAACAACTTCATAGATGTAACCTCCTTCTGGTCTGAAAACACAACCATTTCTTAAAAACTTCATAGATGTAACCTCCTTCTGGTCTGAAAACACAACCATTTCTTAAAAACTTCATAGATGTAACCTCCTTCTGGTCTGAAAACACAACCATTTCTTAAAAACTTCTTAGATGTAATCTCCTTCTGGTCTGAAAACACAACCATTTCTTAAAAACTTCATAGATGTAACCTCCTTCTGGTCTAAAAACACAACCATTTCTTAAAAACTTCATAGATGTAACCTCCTTCTGGTCTAAAAACACAACCATTTCTTAAAAACTTCATAGATGTAACCTCCTTCTGGTCTGAAAACACAACCATTTCTTAAAAACTTCATAGATGTAACCTCCTTCTGGTCTGAAAACACAACCATTTCTTAAAAACTTCATAGATGTAACCTCCTTCTGGTCTGAAAACACAACGATTTCTTAAAAACTTCATAGATGTAACCTCCTTCTGGTCTGAAAACACAACGATTTCTTAAAAACTTCATAGATGTAACCTCCTTCAAGTCTGAAAACACAACCATTTCTTAAAGACTTCATAGATGTAACCTCCTTCAAGTCTGAAAACACAACCATTTCTTAAAGACTTCATAGATGTAACCTCCTTCTGGTCTGAAAATACAAATCTTTAAAAATAAAATGATCTGACATTTGCTAAACAAGGCAAAGTTTTAAAAAAAAGAAAGAAAAACTGTCTAATTTAAAAAACAACCAACATACATAAAAGTAAGCTAGGTTTAGAAATTAAGAGAGAGAACTGGTTTCATTGCATTGGGTTTATGCCATATCAATATGTCCTTTTCTTCTTCTTCATTAGCCCTTTAAGGTAATGAGGAGACATGGTTTTGAAAACATTTTAACTAGCATACAGAAGATTTCATTTATAAAATATGTCTATTTGTTGTCCAAACGAAAGTGGTTCTCCCACTCCTTGTCACTATGGCTACTGCCCACAGCGGAATCATCATTAAACAGCAATTATACCTGTCTACTGCCCACTGCGGAATCATTAAACAGCAATCATACCTGTCTACTGCCCACTGAGGAATCATCATTAAACAGCAATCATACCTGTCTACTGCCCACTGAGGAATCATCATTAAACAGCAATCATACCTGTCTACTGCCCACTGCGGAATCATCATTAAACAGCAATCATACCTGTCTACTGCCCACTGAGGAATCATCATTAAACAGCAATCATACCTGTCTACTGCCCACTGCGGAATCATTAAACAGCAATCATACCTGTCTACTGCCCACTGCGGAATCATCATTAAACAGCAATCATACCTGTCTACTGCCCACTGCGGAATCATCATTAAACAGCAATCATTCCTGTCTACTGCCCACTGAGGAATCATCATTAAACAGCAATCATACCTGCTCCATCAACTTGATCTTGGTCACCACCTCCAGTGCCAGCTGCTACCTGTTCTTCCAACTTGGCCTTCAGATCTTGCTGAGACCGCATGAATCTGGTCTGATGAGCCTTCTCCTGTGGCAGCTTCTCAAACTCGGCCTCCAGTTCTTGAACCTGCGATATTAAGAGGGAAATTTTAAGGCTCCTAAAGTTTGAAGGTTTGAACAATGGATCAACATCATGACACATGGGTAGTAACCCATTAGTGCTCCATTCTTCCTCTAACTCAAGTCTTGAGTCCGAAGAAGCTCAGCACAGTGCACAGGCTCTGTGGTACCAGGGAGGATCCCGAAATACTCCAAAAGTTGTTTCTAAAAATGCAATTAATTTATAACATGTTCAGCTGTAAACCCTAGAAAAAAATGTAATTGCTTAAAGATATTATATCAGCCTCTATATTGACTTTAAAAAAAAAAAATTTAAGCAATGGACGAATCAAAATAAAAAATTTTTTACAGTGATAGAAAAAAAGTTGTGGATATACTACGTCTCCTTTGCACACATGGGTTCCAGTGAACATTTTGAGGCACAAAAAAGAATACATCCAGTGTTCCCCCACATCAAGAATGTCATAAAAGGTAGTCTCAGGGGTTTGCTAAAAACGGATGTGTTGGTTTTAAAGGTGCAGATATCACAGCCTAGCTGTAAACCATAACATTATTGTGCCAATTGCCCTTTTAAGTGTAAATGCAGCAGAAAATGACACTTCTCCCTGTTGCTGCTATGGTGGATTAGACACCTAGTAAAAGCGAATGACTGGTGTAACAAAGCCTAGCATACGATGCCACAACTATTTAGTTTGAGAACGGAGGTGAAAGCAGTTCCACTTGCTTGAGAATCAGCTGCACACACATGTAATCACAGCTATCTCAAAAGTATATTGAGAAAAGAGGAACAGGCTTACTGGGTAACTATAAGGTTAACTTTGCAAGCTGCGCTTAAGAAATATTTCTGTTCAAAAGGTACCAATTTTCACAAATATGTTTTTATGTGTTCAGCAAAATCATTTTATTTCCTCTTTATAGGAAGAAACTGTGCCATCAATGTGAGAGCATCAACACACCTGAATTGGTTTGAAGTTGGTCATCTGAGGCTTCAGCGCTGCACCAATCCACCTATAGAGCTCAATGACCAGTGCCTTTGTCTCATCTCGAACTGTCTTGTCACGATCCTCCAGTAGTTTGGGCAGCAGTTTTAACAGAGGCTTTACTTGAACGATTTTGGTTCCAAAATCCCTGAGGGGAAAAAGAACATACAATAATACTAATTGAAAGTGTAAGTGAGTTGTCCAGAGGAAATGAGCCATTTGGATTTGGGGGGAGGGGGGGGGGGCGGTGGCGGCTGGGTAGACTACAACTTGATATGGATTGTTATAAATATGATCATCACTGTTCTGTTGTGCTATTGTGTCACACCCATCCAGTCCAGCACCTTTAGCCTCTCTCATATACGTTTGTTTTAGGGTTTCTTTGGGCGTATCACCTCCTCAATCCCTTCCTTTTTATTTTAGTGACCCCGTCTGGTGATTCTCGTTTTATCTCAGGATGTGTCCAGTACAGCGCCATCTTCTTTGCCGTATTTTATTTGATACCAGACATTGCTCTTATTTCTTTACCCCTCTCAAATTCATCCCATTTTATGTTCAACATTTTCCTCAGGCATCTGTTTTTAAATGCATTTATGAAATGTTATACTCAATTGTAATTATGTGGAATCAATATCTTAGTAAACAGAGACAACAGATTGAGTTTCTTATGAGGTCTGTAACAGCAAAAGGAGGCCATGGTAGTACAGTGTCTAGACGTTTGTCTGCTATCCTGAAGATCTTTAGTTTGAATCCGCATCAAGAAAGGATTTTTAATCACCTTGGCTCCCAGGTCAATCCGGCCTAAGATGGGTAGCATGTAGTCCTGGGAAGTAAAAGTGGCCGTTGCAATGTTGAACCTTACTGGTTCAATTACAGACTCCAGTGTGCAAACTTAAGTGCTTTGGAAATCCTTGACTATTTTGTCACTGTGGCTACAGTATGAACTAACATAAGACTCAATTTTATTTTTAAAGGGATAAGAACTAAGCATGTAAGTCCGTCTGCCCTTCTGACCTCACTCCTATATTTTTTTATGCATACATCTTTTAATGGGTAATCTTGAACAACATCAACAAAAGTATTACTTACAACCACATGAATCTTTTCGAATTATGCCTACATTCCTGAATAATACCAAGTGTAATAATTGCAAAATTAATAGGAAATGAGTCACAGACAGACAGACAGACAGACAGACAGACAGACAGACAGACAGACAGACAGACAGACAGACAGACAGACAGACAGACAGACATAGACAGACAGAATAAGTAAACACAGATTGGCAATGAAAGTTAGCCGATTTTAAAACTTTTGTGAAAGCTGCAAAAATGTGGTTCATAGATGAATGATGTGAACATCATAGACACATTTAAAAAAAAATAATAAAGATGTTTTGAAAGAAATTAACTTATGTAGAGAAATTTATTAACATTTGAATGAAATAATTCAAATTCTTTGTCCACATCTAGAGGAGGGAGAAAACTGAAGTACATTGTGGTGGCAGGACAGAGAAACACGTGAAGACTAAGAGAGAAGATTTTAGACACACTGGCATTATGACATGGATGATCATCTGCCTCAGAAATGATTGAAAGCACACAATACATAAGAGTGTGGACGGATATGACTGCGAAGGCCACAAAGCATAGACAATAAGAAAAAGAAGAAAACTTGCATTACGAACCTCAAGGCAATAGTTGTGGCCTGTATACATCCCACAACAATCTTTGGCTGCTTGTTTTCCATTCCTGCCATCAGGCATTCCTGAAAATTTAAATAAAAGTAAGTGCTTAACATCTCTGCCCTGGGAAACCGACACTTTCTGTTGAGCCCAATTCCTCATAAACATCACTTTTCTGACTTCATCCTGTTCATGTTTATTGCATACCCATTTTACACATCTTTATATATTTCGAAAAATAAAGGTAATTAAAAAAACTGTAACAAATTTATTAGCGATGTGTAAAACAGGTTTTTTTAAAGAAATATTTTTTTTTCAGGACCACTTCGGGCTTCACCCGAGTCGAAATAGTACCCAAAAAGCACTATGCTGACAGGGAAACATCACGTCCTTTGGACCTGACAGACAGAGGTGGAGGGAACTGATTAGTCAACTGCAACTGGGCGTTATGGGACAATGATGAGGATGACGCAATACAAATATAATTTACATACAAAATCGATCCTGGAATATCAAATGCTATATTTAAATTATACAAAGAAAACAAAGCAAAACAATTTACTAGTATGTAATTCTCTTTAATTAATTCCCAGAGTGGGGACCGAAACTCCATTGTAAGGAAAAAAGAATACACCCATTGCCCCTAATAAGCATGTCATAAGAGTCGACTAATTTTAGATATTTCTTTGAAAGTCAGGACAGCATTTGCCTGAGAGGCAAGTAACTAACAGTCTGCATACAAATAAGCCAGATCTGGCAAACGGGCCATGGCCATGGCCATTGAGTTAACCATATGTGTCGATTCCTCCCCACCAAATATATGGTTGACACATTCCGTTTCTGGATACAGCTTTTATCGAGTTTGCTCTCTAGACAGTTGCAGTCCCCTGCTGACGAGATTCTGTCTTCCCGAGTGGGCCGCCGCGATCAAAACATTGCGAAGGCAGCGTGGCCGAGGCTGCCAAAACTATCAGTCATTATCCCGCCCCGACACAGCACTACCACAATACACGCTGTTCCCACAAAAAACACATAATATCCTGCGTTGGAAATGCGCATAAAATACCAGTCCATGATTATAGAACAGAATAATCCGAGAGAATTGACAGCCAGCGACAATAAACACAGCTGCTGTCCGCCATTTTGAAAACGGAAGTCCGGTCTGGCAAACAAATGTGCGTCAAAACTCAGCTGATGAATGCTAAGAAGAATCAGTATTGATAATTTTACGGGTGGTATTAATTTTAGTGCATAATTTTTTGTTTATGTAAATTAATCAGTGATTCTATTTCAGCTAACCAATTACTTTGCCTTACAAGAAAATGAAATTCTACATACCTGAACAACATCAGGCTTCTCTGCTTCAATAAACAGCATTATAATCTCTATGCCCTTTTCTTTTGTTTTCTGCTTGCTTGCATTGAGACATTTGGCCACGATTCCATTGACAATATCGCTGCAGACTCTGCACAGATAAATAGATTTATTAGTATGGTAGCATGGACGATGGTACGGTAGCACAGAAATAAGTTGATGTGGCAGCACAGAAATATGTTGATATGGTAGCACAGAAATAATTTGATATGGTAGCACAGATGCTGGTATGGTAGCACAGAAATAAGTTGGTATGGCAGCACAGAAATAAGTTGGTAAGGTAGCACATAAATAAGTTGATATGGTAACACAGAAATAAGTTGGTTGGTAGCACAGAAATAAGTTGGTACGGTAGCACAGAAATAAGCTGATATGGTAGCACAGAAATAAGCTGATATGGTAGCACAGAAATAAGTTGATATTGTAGCACAGAAATAAGCTGATATGGTAGCACAGAAATAAGTTCATATGGTAGCACAGAAATAAGCTGGTATGGTAGCACAGAAATAAGCTGGTATGGTAGCACAGAAATAAGTTGATATTGTAGCACAGAAATAAGCTGATATGGTAGCACAGAAATAAGTTCATATGGTAGCACAGAAATAAGCTGATATGGTAGCACAGAAATAAGCTGATATGGTAGCACAGAAATAAGCTGGTATGGTAGCACAGAAATAAGCTGGTATGGTAGCACAGACGCTGGTATGGTAGAACAGAAATAAGTTGATATGGTAGCACAGAAATAAGCTGGTATGGTAGCACAGAAATAAGTTGATATAGTAGCACATACGCCGGTATGGTAGCACAGAAATTAGTTTGTATGGTAGCACAGTTGTTGGTATGACAGCACACAGGTAGTTGGTTTGGTTTCATTTTTAAGGCTCATCAGAGGTAACTCGGTATAGATGGTAGAAACATAAGTTGTATAGTAGCACAGAAGTTGGTGTAAGGTCCCATAGCAGTTGGTATGGTAGCAAAGAAATATGTTAGGAAGGCAGCACAACACTATCTCTAAGATGCTCAAAAAATTAGTGTGTATGCCAGCATTCTTTTCCTGAAAAGCAATTCATAAAAAAAAAAATTTTTTTAAGAAGCAATGGAAAGAACAAGTAACTAACAGAAAAACTGCAAACAGTGAAAAGTCTGCATGCAGTGCAAAGAAAAGACATGATGCCGCATTTTAAAAAAAAAAACGATTGCAGAAGCTTAAATTACCTAGTCAGGAATGTTTGCTACCTACCTGCCACAAATATTAGTTGGTGCATTTTCTAGAAACGCCTGGACAGCATCTAGCCCCTTCTCTTGTGCCACTGCATTTGAGTCCAGAACAAACTTTTTTATAAGTCCAGCATAACGAGAAAATTCCTGGCTCTTTTCATCCAATCCAAGAAATAATTTGCCAGCTTCTTCATATCCAGCCACTCTGGCTTTCCAAGCCTGGAAGAAAAATATATAACATAAGTTTGTGGCCAGATGACCCAATTGAAAAACCTATGAAATATTTCAAGACAAACACTAATTCTTATACTCTTCTACCATTAGCTGTAAAGGAAGTGTAAAGTTAAATATCACTATGTCAGGTCAACTCTCTACACAATTATACCCCAAGAAGAAAAAACCCCATGCGTATGAGTGTTTGAAAAAATGCATTAAAGAGCAACAGATGAAACGGTCTGCTTTACAGAAAAGAATGCACTGGTATGGACCATATAAATAAACAGAGGTAGAACCCTTGGGGTTGTAAAAACATCATGCATACAATAAACAGACAATACACTGGTCAGCACTCATAGAAAAATAGAAGTATAGTGTGCCCTTCTATCTTTCTACTTCTTTCTATGAGTGCTAATCAATGTGGTATGATGAACCACCACAGACAGCCACAAAGAAGGAATATTCTGATTAATGATTTAGGAGTCGACATCATAGCACACTGGGTTTACCCATAGATGCTATCTCCTGCAGCATATGTCTTAGGGTGCAAACGCTCACTGTTCCAGTGTCACACTGGTAACATACACGTCTTTCTTTTCCTCTCATACGCACTTTCCTGCCAGATCCTGTCATTCTGCTGAGAAACAACCGACCCAGCTGCTTCGAGATACCAGCTAAGTGATTCTGTGTATCTGTGTAGTATTGTTTGATTTGTATGTGCTGATGAAGGCTTCATGGCTGCAACATTCACATTTTGTTTGTATTTGTTATATTGTGAAGCTTGCGAATATACTTTTCATTCGGTTTTATATCTTTTCTTCAGATTTATTTCTAAATTTACACATTCTTACATGTATCTTTCATAGCATTTGTTCAGAAATGGGCTTAAGAATGTCCCCCTTGTCCAAAACTAATGTTCCTGAAGCTATAGCGGCAAAAAAAACCACTCTTTCCTTCCCTCGCACACCTACATATCCTGAACAGTATATCCATATGAGTCCCTGTAAGGTTGACGTGCTGATGCTTGGTATCTACTCATGCCACAGTCATCCATTCTTAAGCAACTGCAATATCGACTAAGAATCAGTCACAATAACTCTTCTGGTTACATTTTTCAGCTATCCAGTTCAGTGCTGCAGTGACTGCCCCTCCAACTGCATCCTCATGCTTGAAGTTGAAGAAGAAAAAAATACCATACCATTTTACTCTGCCACAATCTTTCCTTTCACCCTAGCTGAGAAACCCCAGCTATATATTTCACCCTGTGCTCAATATTGTATCTTCAAACCCAGTGTTTTCATCTATCAGCTGCTGTATTTCTTAAATCTGGGACTCCATTGTACCACTCCCTATATTATCTTCCTATGTGATAATGACTTGATGGAAACTGCTCTTATGTTTAATCTTGTCAACCCATTCTTGCTCCCTGTGTAACTGCTCAACTGAGGCCACCAGACAGATGTATCTTCAGCAAGTGCCATCCATGACTTTATTCTCTTTAACCAGTTTCCTCTAAAGTCATTTAAAGTGGATGTCTTTTGTCTCTGGAGATTTGCATGTAGGCCTTGACTTGTGCCAGAGTTGGACTTCACTGATGTCTGCTCAAGCATATATCTCATTGTTCTAATTATGATATCTCATTGTTCTAATTGTGATATCTCATTGTTCTAATTGTGATATCTCATTGTTCTAATTGTGATATCACATCTGAAACCCAAGACAATGTGCATTCCTTTATTTTGAACACATATTCACATGTGAAATATAATAAACGCAAATAAAGGAGGGGAGAATCATGCAAAAGCTAGAATAACAGTATTAAGACCAGACTTTTGTAACAAATGAAGACCAATTTATAATGCATATTACAAAGCATATGCTTTAGCGCACCCCCCCCCCCCCAGAAGAAAAAAACTTAGCGCTGGGGTTACTAGAATAAGGCCGGAAAAATAATAATCTATTGGAAATAACGGGAAAAAGGATAAATGTTCTGGTACTTAAAGAGTTAACAAACTCTTGTTAAGTCATCCTATCATTTGCCATTTCCTACAGCCCAGTTCTTCACCCCCCCCCCCCCCCCCCCCCCCCCCCCCCCCACTCATAATTCATCTCTGTCCCTAAGTCTCTTCTCTATGGAAATTTCTCCCTATACATCCATTTTAATGTGAATTCCAGTGAAAGCACAATTCTTCTTCTTCTTCTTCTTCTTCGAGTTCACCAGCTGTAAACTCTGGCTGAAAGTTCTGGTTGTTCATCCACTTTTGGACTGCAGTCTTGTTCCAGAACCCGAGTGTTGCGTGTGCATCCGTTTGACAAATCTGACTCATTTGTATGCAGACTGCTGGTTCCTTGCCGCTCAGGCAGATGCACTCTGACTTCCAAAGAAGCTCCCAATTAGTCGACTCTTACGACATGCTTTTGGGTAGACAGTGGGTCTATTCTTGTTTTCCCTATAACAGAGCCTGGGAACCCACATGGGGAGAAAGCACATTTAAATATAAGCATATGGCATGCATGTCAACCTCAGAGATGCACTGACATTAGGTTGGAAATTAAATAGAATATCTACACCAGCTTCTCAAATCAACTGTGTTTTCAAATTGCATTAATGGGTACCATCCTCATCATCATCTTGCAGTGCCATTTATAGGACACATAGGGCATAAAGTCTATACCCCCCTTTAGTTTCATCCTGAGCAATATTTTCCACATCAAGGAAAAAAATCAAGGCCAGCATCTTTGGTCTCTCTCATCAGCATTTTTTTTTTTGTTTCTCTTGGACTTTCTCGTTTCCTCAATGCATTTGTTTATCAATTCAGTGCATGTTTAGTGATTTTCTTAATGTGTCTATGCAGGATTTGCCCAATACGTTGTTATCTTCTTACTCATATAACTGTTGTTACAAGTAGCTGTCTGGACATTGTTTTTAAACGTCGCTAACTTTCTTGAACACACACATATAAAACATAAAAATACCCTTACAAAAAAAACCTATACCGACAATGTGTGAAACATTAACCACGCTTTCCAATTAGGGAGCATCATAAAGAACTGTTTTCAATGCATGCAAAGAAAAACTTGAACTGACGTAAATGCAGAACAGTATACCTTGTGCTGGCATTTCTCATCCGTTGGAAGCTTCAGCCACTCAGAGTCATCACCCATGTCTGATTATGAAAGATTCAAAAAACTACTGGACAAGAAACAAAAATAAGCAATTACAACACTAATCTAAAGTAACAGTTTGTTATCTCATTTTGTGCTATAACCAACTAGTTATTATTAATTCATACCTTATAACAAAACAAAACAAAAAAACTTTCAGTATTCACTTGTTCAGTTAGAGGGTTATAAATTTTATCAAATCTATGATACGCAGCTGTTACATATATAAATATATATATATACACATATATACATATACATATGTCAAAACCTCTTGGTTGCTTTTTTTTTTTAGCTGTCCAAGTTATTTTAAGCATTGTTCTTTAAAACCACATCTCTGATGCCTCAAGAAATTGTTTATTTTTAGCACGCTGCGGTTGGCATTTTATACAGTATGATACACTTAGAGTGTGAAACAAGGGGAAAAAAACTCGGCTCTTCTTGCAACTACGGACACATATTGGGGGAGTACGCCGGAGTTCAGTCCCCTGGCCACATTGCAATTACGGAGTGGAAAAGAGGGATCGAAACAAATGACGTAATTAGTGTGTGTTGGCGATAGACAGCGTGAGCAATAGACAGCGTGCAGTGCACTGCTGTCATCATAGGGTTAGGGTTGGGTGCAGTGCACTGCTGTAATCATAGGGTTAGGGTTACAGTTGGGTGCAGTGCACTGCTGTCATCATAGGGTTAGGGTTGGGGTTGGGTGCAGTGCACTGCTGTCATCATAGGGTTAGGGTTGGGTGCAGTGCACTGCGGTCATCATAGGGTTAGGTGCAGTGCACTCTGTCATCATAGGGTTAGGGTTAGGGTTGGGTGCAGTGCACTGCTGTCATCATAGGGTTAGGGTTGGGTGCAGTGCACTGCTGTCATCATAGGGTTAGGGTTTGGGTGAGGGTTGGGTGCAGTGCACTGCTGTTATCATAGGGTTAGGGTTTGGGTTAGGGATAGGGTTTGGGTTAGGGATAGGGTTGGGTGCAGTGCACTGCTGTCATCATAGGGTTAGGGTTAGTGGTAGGGTTGGGTGCAGTGCACTGCTGTCATCATAGGGTTAGGGTTGGGTGCAGTGCACTGCTGTCATCATAGGGTTAGGGTTGGGTGCAGTGCACTGCTGTCATCATAGGGTTAGGGTTGGGTGCAGTGCACTGCTGTCATCATAGGGTTAGGGTTTGGGGTACGGTTAGGGTTGGGTGCAGTGCACTGCTGTCATCATAGGGTTAGGTTAACTACCAGCCATGTCGAACTCACTTTGTTGTGTGATTCGTTCCTTCTCCATTCCGTAATTGCAATGCGGCGAGGGGACTGAACTCCGGCGTACTCCCCCAATATGTGGCCGTAGTTGCAAGGAGAACCAAAAACTCTTTTTGACAGTGAAAAGACAATTTAAATTTTAACTTTTAAGTATCTTCATGCCTTTTTTTTTAATAATGTTACAATTTATAGCCAACTTTTCTTGATTTTTGCCACGGCACCCCTGGTATACGCACCCAGTTTGAGAACCTCTACTGTAATGCCTCGGTCGAGTCAGCAGACAAAGACCTTGCCAGCTGCTGTTCCACGCAACGGGGTGGCTGTTCCCCCCTCCCCCCCTTTGACAGACTTAGGCAACAGCAACTATTGTGTTAATGAGAGAGCTTTTTTCTGTCTATCGCAGTGTATGCAGAAACGGGTGTAAGGTAACCACTCTTCGTATTTGGCCCGACCGCAAGTATTCGGGCGAATACCAAATAGTATTAGGTCTATTATTTGGCCCCGAAGTGAATATTTGGTACAGCCCTAATAGGAATACACAGACACTAGATCAACTAAGTAGACAGCAATAAAAGCAACTTGCTCAACCATCTGTAATGAGCAAAAATTAAAGAACTTTGTAAATCACTGCAATAAGAGCCAATGATATATGGATCAACAAAAATAAGATCAGCTCAATATGCAGCAACTAACACAACTTACTCCCCAACCATCTATAATGAGCAAAGGCTCTCCTTTGAATAACGGTCCCAAATGATCTACGCAGAAAGTGAACCCAAACAGAGCCTCACTCCTCATATCTAAAATTCACTTTTTCTTTGCGGCGAATCAACCGTATCAAAAGTAGGATTAATTGAGCACGACATTTTCGGCGATTACACAGCGGCAAAATTAGGATTAACTACGGACGAAAAAAATTAGCGACACGCGGGAATACTCCCGATAGCGCTATCCTACGGCAGGGCCCGAGTTATATGTAAGTTGCGACCCGCTTTTTGCTGACTATAGTGCCACCTACGGGAGTATCCCCTCCGCCGCCACGGGCGCGGAAGGGGCTAAACTAGATGGCTAGGACTCACGAGCAGCAGCTACCGAAGCTCCTGCAGCTTCCTCCAATGTATTTGCTCGTGAGTCCCAGCCATCTAGTTTAGCCCCTTTCCTGCCGCACGTAGCGGCGCGGGGGATACTCTTGGAGGTGGCACTATAGTCGCCGAAAAAAGTCTACAATTTACAGGAGCTACTTTTTCTGTCAGAAGTACCAACATGCTCGCATTCGCCTTGGTCAAGTGGTGATCCGATAGTGGAGCGCCATCGTGGCGGCTGCTGGTTTGAAGTTGTCCCGAGGCAACATGCGGGTACATTGAACCGCGCATTTCCATCATGTCTCGCCCGGAACGAGAATTGCGGACAAGCCGTGCTGAGTTACAATGGCGGACAGCGAGACAGAACAGATATTCGCACACTATTTGCAACTTTTGTGCTACAATTTTCACATATAAAGTATTTAATTTTCGTTAAGTAGTAGACTTCGCTCTTTTCCTTACACTTTTCGTTCCTAATTTTTTCCAAGTTACAGCTTTTAAATGTTTGTAGGGCAGGACATAATGAGGCTCTGTTAGGGTTAACTTTCTGCGTAGATCATTTGGGACCGTTATTCAAAGGAGAGCCTGAGCAAATATTAAACAATGTAAATCAGAGCCAATGAGAACCATACACGGATCTACAAAAACTAGATCAGCTAAATATGCAGAAAAAAAAAGCAATTATCAAATTTTACTAAAAGAAGTAAACCATACATACAGGTACATGCAGTTCTGTATTACTTTGTGTATTTCTTTTCAGATTATTCTTCTGCCTGCCTTCATTCTTTCTCAGACTATGATTCCAGTTTTCTATAATTTTTTTTTTTATATCTGAGGACTGAAAGGAGTGTTTCCTGCTATTTGCTGGATTTGCTTTAAATTTAAAAAAAAAAAAATTTTGTATGATGTCCTGTTGAGATCAAATCACATTCCTGTCAAATGTTAAATAATAAATGTAACATACCAATGTACCAATCCTATGTTAAATTGTAAATTTGTTTTGCAGTCATATCTCACATATCATATTCTTGAGGAAATTATTAGCAGATACTGAAGGGTGCTAGCTGTCTGAGTGTCTCTGACCTGACAATGACTGGCTTTGACTTTTAACATCACAAACCGCAATCAAGTCTTGACAGAACTTAGTACGAAGTAACCAACTCTTCAGTTACCTTTTGTTTTGTTTATGTTATCCGTTTACCCATTGTCATGACATTAATCACTCAGATATATTATCAACAACCTTCAACAGAAAGGTCTTATGACACTATCAAAGGCATCTTGTAATCCCTGAAAATAAATACTTTGAACTTTGACGCAGTTTTAAATTACTTTAATAATTTGAATCCATTTTTACAGACGACAGGGCAGTCAGAGGGAAGCCTTCGTTGTTGACGCGAGGGAAAAAAAAAACCATTCAAGTACATCCCTTCCGAGCAAGATTAAATCCAATTGTCAATCATATTAATATTTTCTGGCCATAGGCGATCTCATAACTAGCACAACACATATAAGACAAAACGATAACTTGCCTAGACTACAAAAAGTAAATTCTCAAGATCACTTGTGAAGTCGGCCCCCCGATTGATCTCAATTTTTTAAATAAAGAATAATCCGAAATTTTAACATTCCACAGCAGTCTGCGACAACGCCCTCTGGCGTAGAGGATATTGCTGGTTATCAGCAACAATATTTATCAATGACTAATGCCAATGCTGTTTATTGATAAACGATATATAATGTACACTGATATACGAGTTGGTTTCTTTTTATATCTTAGGGATACCTAGCGACTCCTCCTGAAGGTTCTCTAAGCACTCCGGTATAGTAAAATTAAACCAAAAGATTGGGAGGTTGCCGTCATTATGCTTAGGCTATATTTTAAAAAGGGTGATAACGGATAATGTGAAAACCACAGAGACTTATCTTTCCACAGCGTTCCTAAGGGAAAAGGGGAGGGGGGGCGCTCAAATGTTCATTCACATAATTTCGTAAATATCAACTCTTTAGAAGTTTACGGAAATCTTATGTGTTGGGTCTGAAGGCTCAAATATCACACATTTAACTTCAAAACAACAATCTAACATGTCAATCGCCAGTTTAAAGGTGAGCGCAGAATAAGAAGAAAAATCAAAACTAGTTTGCAAGATAAAACACTCAAAAACATCTGGCAAGTGGAGCAAAGAAACGAGTGCCCAATGCTTTAAAAAAAAAAAACAAAGCCGGAACTGACATTTGTGTAGTAGGATTGTTCAGTAAGCAAGGAAATTGAGAAACATTGCTAAATCGTTACACAATCACGAGAGTTTGCACAAGTGGTCAAGCCGTTTGCCTCCAATCATGTTCGCGCTGCGTTATTATATTTAGGAGTGAATGTGTTCAGAGATCTTTCGGGGTCATCACAAAAGGCAAGAGGAGCTTTCATAGCCCTGGGGAATTTGTGGACGTCAAAAGAAATTAAAAGAAATAACTTAAAATTTGTAATTATAATGTCAAATGAGTACGGAAACGTGGAGAACAACTAAGACAATTACTAATAAACTACAGACATTCATTAACAGGTGCCTACGCAGAATATAAGGAATTAAACGGTATGGTTGAATCACTAATGCAGAGCTTTGGGAGAGAACTAAGCAAGCTCCAGTAGACCAAGAAGTGAAGAAAAGA